GGTGGGGGGGTGGTGCGTGGGACGTAAATCAGACATATACACTTTATACTTAGTAAATCTTTATATAACAAACCAATAGTGTCAAACCCTCGCTTAGATATTCCATCTATGCCAAGCTAGATAGCATGGTTCTCTATACCTTCCCCTATACCTTCCCTTTCAAAAAAAACCAAAAAACACATAAGAAACTCTATTATATATAACCTAACCTAACCTACCTACCACTTACCATCTACTAAGCGCTCTAGCCTATAATAAAAAAAATATAATACTTAGAAAAAGATACCTATTCCTAGGTAAAGTAAGGGTTTCAGTACCTGTAGGTACTTCTACTTATTTAGTAATACCCTCTAATCTTTTTCTTTTTCCTTTCCTCCTCTTCTCTCTTCCCTCCTCTTCTCTCTTCCCTCCTCTTCTCTCTTCCCTCCTCTTCTCTCTTCCCTCTTCCCTCTTCTCTCTTCCCTCTTCTCTCTTCTCTCTTCTCTCTTCTCTCTTCTCTCTTCTCTCTTCTCTCTTCTCTCTTCTCTCTTCTCTCTCTTCTCTTCTCTCTTCTCTCTCTCTTCTCTCCTAAACCCACCAGTCTAACTATTACACGTATAACCTATCTACTAAACTTTTCAACCTTCTCATTCTCATTTCACGCTTCCTAATATACTAACCTACTTTCTCCCTAAAGTACAGTAATAATTAACTCGTACTCGTAACCACCCAAAAAACACACACACACACACACACATATATATATATATATTAACAAACCCCTACAACCCAGCACCTCATACCCTCTTACTATCCTCTTCCTTCCCATCCATCCCCCCCTCACCCCTCACCCCAAACAATGTCACTATAACCCAATATCAGTATTACATACCAATCAAGCACTGTGCACACACATCTCAAGAGTCTAGTCACTCTACCTAGTCGGAAAAAAAAATATAGGAGGATGATGATTTTGATTTCCCGGGAACTATTGTATATAAAGTAACTCACCAAACAGAACAGAACAGAACGAATGGAATAAACTCAATAGAACCAGCAAAGTAATGCAAAAGCATTCCAATCCAATCTATTTATCTCTCTAAAAATCCGTCTGTAACCCCGGATATCAAGTCGGTCTATCTATACAAGCAAAGCAAAACAAACCCCACACGCAAGACCACAAGATCCCAATTCCAAAAACGCCTCGCAAGAACCATATAAGGTACAAAAGACCCCCCACCGAGTGCATACCACAAAACCCTACATCTCCCCATACTTCTTACAGCCCTTCTCTCCCTAGCTACCTCCACTCTTACACTTCCTCCCACATCTCTCTTTCTTCAAGCCTGCAAATCCTTCAACCTCTTCGTCGCAAAAGCCGCCCCAACCGTACACAACGCCCCAATAAAAAGACAAACCGCAATCCCATTCAGTCCCTCCTTCGCACTCTCCGCCGTCTCACCACCCGCTAACTCAGGACTCTTCCCAGGCTCCAGGATACTAAACACAATCATGGAGATAAACGTGCCTATGAACTGTGGGATTGTCGTATAGATATTCAGGATGCCAAAGTAGAGGCCGGACAGCTCGCCGGTCGAGGAGACGGCTTCGTTGGCGGAGGAAGGACCGTGTTCGAGACGGAGGAGAGTAGCGGTTGAGGGTGTGGTAGGGGTTGAAGGGGATTGGGGGGTGAGTTCGATGCCCAAGGATTGTGATTGGGAGACTCGTCGGTAGACGGGGGTGGAGGAGAGGCGGTTGACTTCTATTCCCATGAATGTTGCTGGTGCCCATGTTGCTAGTGCCCAAGGCAATCCACAAAGCGCCACGAGGAAAGTTGCAAAGCGGAAGGAATGCGCGAAGGGAGCCATGAACATTGCGAAACTAAATAGACAATGTCCCCATATCCAAGCGGTAAGTAAATCAGGTTTGTGTTCATTGACTTTCGTTACCAGACCTGCGATTGCGGCTGGTGGACGGGCTGTGAAGCCGCTTTCTTCGGGAGATCGCACGAAAAGGGGGAGGAGCATGGCCCCAAAGAAGGTTACGATGGATTGGACTACGAGAGCCAAACTCCCTATTCTTCCAATGTCACCCAGGGCATCTTTGGATTGTTTGACGTCGTGTGGTGCGTCGTAGCGGAAATAGAGCTCTCCTACCCAGGTTGTGGAATAGACGAGAAAGGGGAACCATCCGATCCACTAGCGAATATGTCAGTACCAAACTTTACATAGAAACGGATGACTTACACTCCACAATTGGACATTGCAAATTGCCTGTATCCTCGGAGGAAGATTTGTAGCCGTGCTAATGATCTGCTTGATGATCTTGAGTCCACCATCTTTGGATTCAGTGGCTCTGCTGGAGATCAAAACTCGTTCTGTGACAGCCCATGAGGTTACTCCGACTGAGACCATGAGCCCAAAAGCAGCTACCAAGATCAATTTCTTGAATTGTGTGTCTCCAAAACGAGGACCGAAAATGGCAACTAAATCAATAGTCCCAACGGCGTATCCAACAAGGTGACCAATAGAAACCATTCTGCTTCCTAAGCGATGTTAGTCGTGGTTCTCAATAAGTGGAGATATATCATTTCTCACCCCAAGCACTTCCAGTTTGCTGCTTAGGAATCGGCAACGTATCAACGATCAAACTTCGACAACAGGACTGTACTTCTCGGGTCAGCACCAAACTCCCATCCCTTCGCTCCACCCAAAAGTGACTAACCAGCATTAATCGCAAAATCGACCGCATAAATCGAGAACACCGCAACAGCAATCGTGCACTCCCTCCTCAACTCTCCTTCCGGCAGGAAATGCCCTACAATCTCCTTCGTCCACCCAAGCAGTAGGAGGAACCCAGCAACAACCACCGACCCCAATACCATGAACGGTCTCCGTCGTCCGTATTTCGAGGTCGATCGATCCGCAATAACACCAATGATAGGCTGCATGATTAACCCCGAGAGCGGCCCTGCGATCCAGACGAGGGATGTTTTCGATTTGGTCAGGCCGAGTTGGAGGAGGTAGGGCGTGCAATCTATACCATCACCCAAATCAGCAATTGAACCACAACACCAAGACCGGAATCAATGGGAAGTACATACAAGTCATTTCAATACCCCAAGTAAACCTATAACCCGCGCAAAACGAGAGAATTATCAGTCCAATGCGGTGCTAGACGGACAAACCATATGCTTACTGCAACCCCACCAGGGAGAAGGTTAACAACATCATCTTCATCCTCTCCGTCGACCCCTTGACATGCGGTGTTCCCGCCCATGATGCCATCCTCTCGATATCCAAGGAGTCCCGCGGTCTTTCTTCGTCGTCGGCGTTTTCAAACACTTCAGCCTTATCGGCGCCCGTCCCAACACCAGAAACACCAAAGCAGCTTCGCACGGAATCTGTCAGGAACAAGAACATAATTAACACCCATCCATTCATTCATCAATCCATTCCCTTTCCAAAACCCTACCCTTCCTCCCCAACACTCCTCTTCGCCAAACCAGAAAATCAGAAGCAAAAAAAAAGAAAAGGGGGAAGATCTCACAAAAAATCCTACACCAGCATCATAATTCCCTTATTTTTCTTTTCTCGGAGTTTAGTCTTGCAATGGCGGGAAAATGGGAAAGAGCGACTGACTGGCGTTGTGACGTTTGGGCTGAGGGCCACATTTTCATTAATGGGACGGCACGACAGGCAGGGCTGATGATGATGGCAGGGATACCGTGTCCAAGCAAGGGGGAAAGGGGGCCTAAACGGGGGGATCGCTTGGGGTTGCTTGGGGGGAACTTGGCCCCGCTGCTCATGGAGGGATGTGAAGTGCCGGGTGCGTCTCGTTGGGTGGGACAGGTGGGATGAGATCTGTCACGTTTTGGTACAGTAGCTTGCTATCATACGATTTATGTTTTTTTTGTGCTCGCCAAAGTGTGTGAAATGGAAGTTCTAGAGAATAAGGGTTTTATTGTTCTTATTCTCTAGAATATTGCATGGTTGTTTTACTTCGTAGAACAGGAGTTTGGAATAATTTGAGCGATCATCCCAAGGCAACTGGTCCAATCGTTCTAGGCTAACAAACGGCCTAGCCGAATTAGGAAAATAGAAAACAACAAAAGAAGTATATACCACTACTTTCAGCCTCTGTCACATCACAGCCAGACTTCAGTAACACCACGGACTTCATTCATAAATCTTCAAATTGGGTATCTCGAATACAGAGCAATCATGCAAAACCCCATCAGAGCTTCTCCATCTTCTGTTCCAAATCCTTGACCCACCCCTCCACAACTTTCATGTTGCCGCCCATCACAGCCCCACTTTGATTAAGAGCCTCCTCTACTTTCTCAAGACCCTCTCTCCATTTCTTGATTTCTTCAGCCATCGCGATTTGCTTCTTCTCAACCTCATCTAAATTCTCGCCAGCAGTGGCTGCATCCGCGTGAATAGCTCTCAATGAGCGTAATCGGTCCAATAATGGTGGTAAAAGAGGGGCCAAACTCTCGATCGTTGGAAGGGTGCCATATAAAGCATGAATCTTTGCGATTTGCTCCGAATCTTCATCGTCTTCCGATGAATCACCTCCTCCTGCTGCTCGCAAAGCATCCTGAGCTGCTTTGGCTGCTTTTCTTGATTCCTTCAATCTTTCAGCTTCTGAAGTTAATGTACGAACTCGTCTGCTAATACTATCCAGAGATGAAGGTGTTGATTCTGATATAAGTGTAACCTGTCTTTGCAAAGTTTCAAGGGTAGGTAAAATCGCTTTTGGGACGCCATTGGAAATCGCAGCTATCGGATCTAATTCCAAAGCTTTTTCCAAGAGCGCCAATCGAGCATCGAAATCGGCCGCTTTGGCAAGAGCGTGACTTTGTTGGTACGTCGGAGCGTATGTAACGGTATAGGTCGTTGGTTCGCCTGTCCCTTGAGTGGTTTGTGGGGGTCCATGTGCCTTGACTCCAGTTCCCAGATCTTTCGTAAACTTCGCGGTGGCACTTGGTTGCGTCTCTCCGTTGCCCAGTGATATTCCATCCAAAATCTTGCTAAGCTCTGCCACATTGGGTTCGAGGTTCTCGTCGACTTGGCCCGTCTTTTCTTTCTCGGCCTGCCTTCTACCAACTTCCGCTTTTACTTCTTCAATTTCCCGCTTCAGTCTTGCAACCTTCCGCTCCAGACTTTGTCCATCCTCGTCATCGCTGATGTCACCGTATTCCTCAGTGCCATCTTCGCGGATCTTTTGTCTTCTCGAAGAAGCTTTGTATGATTTCCGCTTTGCTGTCACCCTGTCGGAAAAATCTACATCTCTTGCATCGATCTGTGCTGGCTCGAAGTGGTTACGCGCTTCGTCTGGGTGTAACCGCGAACGGGAGATACCAGGAGTGTCATCCTCGTCCTCAAAGTCTTTATGGGACGAGGAAGTGGAATGAGAGTATGCTCTTCCCGTCTAGAAAGAGGTATCAGTGGTCATACTACATTCATGAAGCTTGCGGGAACTAACAGGAGCCGTGGAGTTGTCGTCTGTGAGTTCAGGGGTCTCGTAGATGTCGGGTGCAGAGCTGTCCTGTGCCAACAACGTTAGAGGAAGTTATGTTATCAGCGGATATTGCCCACATACGACATCTATCAGCGAGGCGTATTTCCTGGCGCTGGCCATTTTCCGAAATGGAGGGTTTGTTGAGTATACAGGACGTGTGAGGAACCAAAAGTTGGTCGACTTCTCCAATGCAGTGTTCCAGGGTAGGGCCCGGGGTCTTTCCGCTTCAGCCACTCATATCACTGGGCTCTCACCCCTCCAGGCCAGCCTCATTCCCATACTCGGTACCTTGCGTATGTATTCCGTACTCCATATTGACTGCTACACAAAGCCATATTATCTCGAAATGCTACGAGTACGTACTCTAGAATTAAAGTAACTTTGTACGCGTATCGGCTTTCCTTCCATTTTCTTTTTCCATTCGGCTCTCAATTCTTCTCTCAACCATCTGGATACCTCCCCACTCATTAATTGGTGGCTGAAAGGCTGAGGAATCCCCGCCTGGGGACACAACCTTCCCTGTGAATACGCGACGACGCGCTCGCTACTTCCTCAATGGATATGAAAGTCAAACTCGACTTTATAAACACACAGCATCTTTCTCGGCGCGTGGGACTTTCAAAACCCACTCGAAAAACTCCTGTCAAATCCTCACCCATACCACAAACTTCGAAAGATATGCCTCCAAAGTCGTCAAAAGCCCCGCCTCCCCCTGCGACAAATAGGGAGACATCTGACGAAGATATATCTCGACCGCCCGAAGAGAGCAGCGAAGCCAACGATACCGACGATGATGAAATCGCAAGGAGAACAACAATTGCCACTACCGTTCTTAAGAAAGGCACGAGGGGAAAAGAGACGCAAAAAACAGTGAATGCTGGCAGAACTGGAGCGCAAAAGATAACTAATGGCGTACCGGAGAAGAATTGCTTTGGTATCGTAACTGGTAGACAACAAAGTGCACACTCGTCGCAGCAGAGCAGCCGGGCAGGCAGTCCAGCCAAAAGGAAGAACCAGGAGACAGATTCAGGGAAAACAGACATGTTCGGTGCTTTGGCTCGCAAAAAACCAAAAAAGAAACAATCGAGTAAGAGCACAAGTATGTATGGTAAAACTGCGCGTAGCTCTGGAGTGACTTCATCAGCCAAGTCAAAGGGTTAGTGTCTAGATCTTGATCGTTTCCAGTACCGTAGCTGACGCTGAATAGCAAGCATTGATGATTCTCCGAAGATGAAATTCAAGAGACCAGATGATATCCCAGATTCCGATAGCCCAGAATTTTCAGATAAGGAGAATGGCGCTAACGACTCGGACAATCTACGCTCGAGTCTCAAAACTGGAAAGAAGTTCAAGATACTAGACGAGATTCCATCCAGCCCTGTCAAAAATGATGAGAGCCCAAAAGTGTCATTCAAAAAGCCTGATGACTCTTTTCTCAATGACGAACTGGGAGAATCCTCTCCAGACCCTTCCCCCGTGAAAAGACCTTCAAACGTCAAATTAAATCGAAGAAAGGGTAAGTTATCAAACGTTGAGCCACCATGGACACAAATGCCCGTTTTCAATGCTATGAACGATATCGGTGATCTGGGTCTGGATGATTCCGCCCTTGATGAACTGGCAGGACATGCCAGGGTATTTCTCAGCGATGATGATTTCGATTTACCTGTTTTCAAGAAAGCTGAAAGTGATAATGAAGATTCGCCGTCTGCGAGCCAACCCCGATGTCCCTTCTGCAGGCATATAGTCGATGCCGCAGTTCTCAGGAAATTCCAAGGCATGACCACTCGAGAACAAGAGAAGTTTTGCCAGATTCATCAAAAGGATGATGCTAAAGCAGAGTGGGACAAACTGGGTTTTCCTAAAATCAACTGGACGAATCTCGACTCTCGGATCAATAAACATCACGCATTCGTCAGAAAATTGATCAATGGCCAGGACAGTCATTATCGTGCAGAATTGCAAGCAAAAGTTGATGAAGGGAAAGACCGAAATTTGCTGAAAGCGACTGCAAACCTGACGCCTGGGTATTATGGTGGTCGCGGTCTACGAATTCTTTCGGAAAACATCATGAACAAACATACGGATTTGATCAAGAAGCGAGCCCCCAAGGATACACTGATGTCGGCTCGGGGTGTGACTGGGTTCGTTCAATCTGTTCTGGTACCCGAGGTTGCCGTTCTGCTCATCAAGGAGGACATGAAAATATCGATTGAGGAAGCGCGTGACTTACTTGCAGAGAGTGCAAGGATGGGAGAACTTGTACATGAAGAAATGAGGGAGGTTTTGAGAAGACGCGTTGTGGATTCAGACGGGGATGATGATTTCGATGATTAATTGTGTTTGGGTTTGGCATACATATGGTGTTTTTTGCTCTGGATAGCATGTTGCATGATGGATCGGCATTTGCATGGTGATAGGGCGTTTTTTTGATAGCATTGCTTTTTGGGGGTGGGTTGTGGTATTGCACTGTATAGAATAGTATTTGGACGGATACAGTGGATGGCGTACAGAATTTTGCATATCTTGGCTTTGTTATTTCTCTTGGTGGCTTGTTTGTTTGCTGGTCTGTTTTTTTCTCTGCCTGTTGGTAGTGTCCTTGCACCTTGGTAGACTTGCCAGGGTAATTTATATGTAGATATTAACCATTCAATCAATTACATATGAGGCAGCTCTTTTGTACGGTACGGGAATCACTTGTAACATTACGAGCTTGCTGATATGAGCTTCCTTTCTTGAATTAGCGCCCACGGAATTCGCTTTAAGAAGCAACAGTATCGCCAGTTATGGATTTTGTTGTTGGTTTGTGTCGCCTAGGCGAGGTTGAAAGTTTGAGTCAAGGCCTTTTGTAAATTATGGTAGTATGGTTATTGCTATTACTAGTTTGTTGATTTGTTGGTTTGTTACTCGTGGCAAGTAAGTAAGTGTCTATGTGCCTTTTGATTCTACTGTATCACTGGCATTGACTGGTTGATGAGTTATAAGATTACGAATTATGTCGATGTCTACCTCATTACATCACTGACTCCTTCAAGACATCATCACCAATCTACACCAATTTTCCTTCAATACTGTAAATCCTCATCTCCCCTCTCTTCGGGTAACCCTAGGCGAGGCGAGGCCTGAGGTAGAGGGGATACTTGCGCTTGCAATTTTGTGAGATGATTAAGAGCCCAGCTTGAGGATTTGTGGTACGGAGGAGTGGGGACGGGTTTGTGTTGCTTCCATGGTGTGTGGTGTAGCTGGTATTTGGTACGGGTTTTGAGTTGAGTTGCGTGGTGTGGCTGTGTTGTTGTGAGAGTGTCTTTGAGGGCGCTGGAGTGGTAGGTTAGTGTGGATTGTAATGGGAGGGAGGCGTTATTTTGTGGTTTTCTGGCTGTGTGAAAAGAAGGTAGGACGAGAGGACTCCTTGAATTAGTTCTGTGAGGTGTATTGGGTATGTGCATTGATCGAGGTTGCTTACAGTACTGGGCTGATGGGTTAGTTCATCTGGTGTTTGTGTTCGTTTTTGGACTTATAAAGCTGTTCTATGTTAGAGACAGGGATAGATTCGTCTGGATGGAAGAGGACGAGTGAAGGCATCGGATATCTGGTTGAATAAGATAGGAGGACGTGGAGAGGAGGTGACGGAAAGGACTGAATTTCTTCCGTTTGTTCAGTGGTAGATGTTGAATGTTGGATGCCTTAATAAATACGAATTTGAGTTACACTCCTGCTATGCTCAGGGGATACGGTGGGTCGTTGCTTGGTGGGTGTTGTATACTGTGAAAGTTGATTATGTTAGATTTATTCTTATTTGAGTTGGGAACTATCATTTCTCATTCAGTATGAGACACGCAGCTGTAGGTTGAAAGTGCTCTAAAGAGCTCTGAATGGTAAGGTTAACATTCTGCTATTTTCATAGGGAAGTTTCGGTAGTATATGACCTCATTTTCCATGGGAAGTAGTGTATATAACAGAGATAACGTTAAGTAGTTGATTGCAATGTAGCATGGTTTTTGATCAGTCAGTCTCAGACTCTCAGCTTTGAATGCGGCTCTAACTCTTGTCCGATATAAAAGAATAGGCAGTGCTGTCCAAAGCTTGGACTAGGTGACTATGATAGCGGAGCAAAACTCCTTCTATATAGGTAGAAGTGGGGAAGAAACCTGGTCATTATTCTATTCATACCTAGCTTAGAACAATCTGCGTTCGGCGTCTAGAACCTGATTCCATGGAGTTTCCATACTTAATTCTAGTGTAGAATCTTCCTGAGGTTCCTAAGAACGGAATAAAACTTTTCTAATAAGGAATAAGGCTTTGTCAGGATATATTATACAGTATATACGTCGCTTTTTAACGTATAATGGAGGTTATATTACGGTAAAAGAAGAGGCTTATGAATTATTAAATTGACTAGTTATATAATTCCAAACTTTTTCTTAGTTGAATAAACGAATATAACTATGTTGAAGTGTATATCCCTTTTGGACCAATACTACGGAATCCTGAAAGTACCCTTAAATAGATAATTCTAAATCATTCGTATAGCTGTTTTGTTTAATTAAATCCTTTGTAGTATAAAGTTGTCTTTAAAAGGGGCGCATAGAGTGATAACGAGGTCTCTTACTCATATTCTCCATCATATCTCGCTTAAAACTCTAGTAATAAATAACCCTATGGAGAAACTGACTATTGAAGTTTTAGCATTACAAATATAGGAAAAGTTTACAAAAGTAGCTAGGGAGCAATGGTAGAAATAAGGGATGAATTGGTAAGTGTAAGCTGGTAGTCAGTTCTATGTGAAGGGTTGTAAAGGTTTTGGAGCTTCGGAGGTGATTAAGCGAGAAAAGCAGCACAGCGATTCACGCTTGAGTTGAGGAACAACTACTTCCATAGAGGCAGCGCCAAGGCGCTAGCAAGATCACATGATACGCATTCACGTCTTTCTTGATCCCTGCTAAAAGGAGGCGTGAGTTGCGTTGGTTGAGCCCTATATTCAAAGCTTTCCTATGATAAACAGGCAAGCCGCACGCTACAAACCACACATACCCAAGAGCTTTCAGAAACAACCTGATCGTGACAACGCTTACCCCTACCACCAGCGAGCACCCATACTGAAAGAGCTTTCCCAACACAAAATGTCATTTCTCTACCAAGAGATTGATTTTATCGTCAAGTTCCACTTCACGCCTTTTAACTTGATTATATTAGTTGCGCTCTTCTACCTCCTCAAACTGGTCCCAAGGCCCAAAAGACGGCAATTCTGTAAGGATGTGGCACTCTTCGTAGCGCCATTGCTGTACATCAGAATACTTTCCAACATACTACAAACTTTCCGCCCCGACACACCACTACTCGCATCAAGCCTTCGCTGGTACCGGCTCTCGGGGGTACACCACCTTCCTATAGTCAAGGTACTGGCGTCTGGAATATTCATAGGTATTTATTCTCGCCGTCAATGGCAACGCAAACTTCGATGGGCTATCGCATTAGGATGCGCAGTCTTCATCCTCAAAGTCTTTGGCGAGGAATTCCCAACTCTATGGACCGACTCAGGGAATCATCTTTGCTATACCGTCTTTCCCTCACATACGCAAGCACAGAGCTTCCAAATATTCGACTTTAGAATTGCTAGTGGCTTGTGGGCGACTCGCTTGCTTGTAATCGTTCTCTTGAGGTTTCATGAACATTATTTCGGCCTCCTTGAAGACGCGATGGATTGGGCGTTACCAGAACGAGTTATTGGCGGAAACCGGGTGATACCTGCTCCAAATCGGGAGGGAAACAATGCGGCACCTGCTCCAAGTCGGGTTGGAAACGAGGCGGTACCTGCTCGAAATGTGGAAATACCCCATATTGCTCTCGCCCAGATCCCGCCACCGGCATATCAAAGCCACGGACCGCCTCCTCCTTACATGCCTCGAAACTTGAGACAGGTCGAACGTCGGTCTGTAAACACGATTGGGATACAAACTAGGTCAGACTAAGAGGTGGCAAGATGGGTAGTCATGACGATTTGGAGCTGTGTTAGGTTGATCTGGGTCATCTAGGTCGCAGAGATGGTTACAGGTGCCGAACCCTTTTTAAGCGAGAGAGTTGAGAATGTTCAATCGCCAAATCCAGATCCTTAGCAAGTCAACCACCTCAAAGCATGGAATCAGGAATCACATCTTTGGGGAACTCTTTGTGAGTTGAGGGAGTAAAAAATGGCAATCGATCTTTGCGGTTAGAGTGTGCTGTCTTGGGATAACGAGGGAACGAACTGCTGTTCATTTTGTACTGTACGGAAAGGGCTATGTGTAACCAAATACGATGGACTAGCAAATTCTAATTAACAACATACAGTGAGAAAATGCATGGTTCTCTTATACCATATTCCAAATGTACACTTAGGTCGGAAACGTACGGCATCCTAAATTGACCGTCCAAGTGACTAGATTGCCAATCGTAAAAATTATATATATCTATACGGTCCCAGTGCGCATGTATCCCCTACATACCTCACCTCTCCCACATTTTCCGTTCCCCACTCGCCGCTCTCCCTCTCCCCTCTGTTAGAACCTGCAGCTAAGAAAACCCCTTCCACGTTCCCCCCTCCCAACAAAACAAAAAAAATACCACACAAAAGAATGGCAAAAACTCAATTACCTATGCACAAGAACTGTACAAGGACCTTAAGGAAACACAGACACCATTTCTGGCCTGTCTATTACTTCGCTCCGATAGGCCCAGGGCTTGCGGAATTTTTAACGTCTTCCTCCGGACTGTTTTGCCCATGCGCCAGTGCAACCTGCAATACTGCTAGGTCGAATAGCGATGGCCGCTTGTCTTATTTGTGGTTATAGAGGCGGAGGGAAAGGATTCGTGGGTTATGTGAGAGGATAAGGGTCGCTAAGTAGGTAGCGAGTGAATGTTTGCGAACTTGATATTGCTACTGCCTGTGCCCCAAGTCGTCCTCTGCTTCTTACTCTCCTTCCTCCTCATAGCTCCAAGAGTGTGGAAAGATATTTATACGAAACACACGGTATCGACCGTGGGACGAATCTCTGTCAAATAAGCACAGACATCGGATGAACGAACCGCAAGTGGGAGACTACCGCAAGGTATAGTGTATTAGATATTCATGCCATCCACTTCCATCAAAGGGATCTAGTACCGACTACTAACCATCATCATTCTTTACCCTCCCTCAGTCCTCAAAACCAAACACCCTAACACCCCTTAACCCCCATTAAAACCGTAACTTTGTATACATACTTTTGTAAACTCACTGCCACGTAGACTCTGTATCGAGTAATATTTGTATATTGTTTGTGCTCCATTATACCGACTTGAATCTCCGGCTCTTTCTATACTTCTATACTAAATGACCTTTACGGCTTGCGTTTTGCGAATTAGTAATTAGTATTTATCTTCATGCCCCCCATCCTACAAATGACTATTCACCACATTCACCCCCTTCGCACTCATAACTTTAAGTAACAGCTCACACCAAGTCACAAGAGTATATGCCTGCGTAGCTTAATGCTAACATTGAGCGAGAACTTTACTTAAAGATTGACTAGTCAAACCGCAAAAAACTCAGTTCGTCTGGTTTATTGTCCTAGGCCGCCTCCTTTGAGGGTGAGGATTTTTTTATTTTTTTTGGGGGGCGTGGGGGGCTGGGACGGCGTTGGTTTTACTGGTACTTTGTTTTTGGGAGGGGAGGGGACGGGAGTAGGAATAGCCATAATCTCGGTAGTTGGTGCCATTCTTCACAATTTAAAAAGGATGCCTCAAAGTCTCAAGGTATCTACATAACAACCTATCTTCTTTTCTGACATCTCAAAACCTTAGATAGAAACATCAATCTTTTCCGCTGCCTTCAAAGTCTCCTCCCACCTCTCAACAACAAACCTACACCTCGCAATAGAATCCTGACCCAACGGTAACCTCAAAGCACTCTCCACACCTCCCTCCATAACATTCTCAAAAATCCTCGCCGCCCCCTTCCCGACATCATTCACCGCATTCGTCTGCCCACCCTTCAACACAGCATCCATCATAACCTCCACCGCAGTCCCCTCATACCCCTCCGGCACACCTTTCTCAGCAGGCAAACAAGACGCCGCAAAAGGCGTATTAAAGAACCCCAACTCAGCAAGCAACACCCTAACACCCAGCGGCTTAACATCATTATACAACGCCTCCGACATGCCTTCCAACGCAAACTTACTCGCCGAGTACAGTGCACGCGAAGCCTTTGCCTCAATCCCCGCCGCAGAACTGATCTGTACAATCATTCCACTCTCACACTTCCGCATCCCAGGCAGAACAAGACGAGTCAACTTCATCGGCCCGAAGAAATTCGTTTCCATCTGTGAACGTGCTTCCTTCTCGGTGATGGATTCGAAGGCTCCTAGGAGGGCGTAGCCCGCGTTATTTACTAGGACGTCTATTTTTCCATAGATTGAGGTTGCTTTTGAGACGATGGAGGCGAGATCTGCTTCTGGTAATGTGATGTCGAGGGTGAGCCAGTGTCCACCGAGGGACTCGATTTGAGAGACCAGTTCTGGTGTTTTGGAGGGATTGCGGGAGGTGGCTATTACGTGTTGGTTGTTTTGTAGGGCGTGGAGAGCGAGGGAGAGTCCTAGGCCAGAGGAACAGCCTGTTATGAGCCAGACTTTGGGGTTGAGGGAAGAGGATGTGGAAGCGTTTGTAGACATTTTTGGGATTTTGTCTTCAGGCGCTTTTAGATGGAGTCAAGGAGGATACAAATCTTTTGAGGATAACTGAGGTAAATAGTATCAGCCTTAGTTCGACTGGCAGGATCTTTGGAAGATTGGACTTTGTTGATTAATAGTGGTTTCTGGGGGTTAGGCTACGAAGGGGTTAACAAAGCTAAAAGCCGAGAACACGGAGTTAGCCATCTAAGACCTTATTAGGGGGTTAGTTGGCTGACGTTACGAGAACTTACGAGAACAAGCTTATTCTGAAGGCCAAGATCGTTCGGAAGAGGCTAGCCGGAATTTCACTCTGAAAATCTTCATGCTCGAATGCTCTTTACATATTGTACAGTATATACAGTATACTACTACCATATCCTCTTCGCAGACATCTCGTATCTACTAATCTTTGAGAAGTCTGGTGCAGCAGCAGCCTTCTCTTTCCCCAACCTCTCCTTTTCCCTCAACTTCTTCAAAGTTTCAGGGTCATCGCCGAAAATATGATCTCGTTTCTCCTCCTCCATCTCCACCATTCCCCAGCTCCCAATCCTCTTCCCTTCCATGGTATAGTTTTGATGTTCCCTTTTCTTCATTGTGCGATATCGATTGCGGGAGAACTTCAAGAGTAGCATTCCCAAGACCAATTTACAAGCGAGAAGAACGAAGAATGCGCCGAGGAAGAAGATGACCATGGTCAGAGCAGCGATAGCATCATCAGCACTGGGAAGGTACCAGCGGTTGGTGATTGTGATATTCGGCACGCCGAATGTAGATCTTCCGAGGGCTTTGCGGATGATAGTATCGAAATGTTCAAGGGCAGCGGTAGTGGCCGGGGATGTTGTGGCAGAATCGACTGACAATGATGTGGCAGTCGAAGGAAGAGGTGGCGGAAGATGAGTGGCAACGAACATATGATAAGTTTGGACTGATGACCTGATGAATAAACATGATAAAGGAATTACCGGAAGCCCTAGTCGCTTGATGAGATTTTGGTTGACAAAAGCCTGACAAAATTAGCATGCTTCCATGGAGTAGAAATTTTTTCGGCCTACATTCGTGTAGTAATCTTTTGCCAAAATGTCAAGATATCTTTGATAAACAGCAGGCTGTACGCGGTTGAACTTGCTGATATATGCATGCTTAATCCAATCAACCAGCATCTCACTACCAAGTACTAACAAGAACGGTGAGAGGACCTCAGCAGACCAGCTAGGGAGTATAGTAAAGCTTTCTGGCAAGATGGAGTTCGATCTGATAGGTGCCATCGCTTCTTTGACTATATCAGGAGCACCGCCATCGCTAGTGATACTTAAACCCCCAAGTTCCACTATATTTCGCAGAGCGATAATCGTCAGCATAAGCCAAAGTTGAAAGCGTTCAACGATATCGGCACAAGTCATCTGGAAAATATTGTCTTTCTGAAACATTTTGAACACGGTTGACTTGATCTCGACGAACTGATTCGACATCAAGAGCGTCAGAAGTGCATTTGAGTAGGAGTTCACTGCCACATTCAATGCTATGACTTGATAGAACAATGCCGCAGCATGGATAACATTGTAAATGAGTGCCAGAATGAACATTCCAAGTGGGCGTAATAATTTGCTTCGACCATCAAGGTCTCGCTCCAAAGTTTCATCAGAGAAGAGACACTCAAAAATATCCTGCCCCAACGCTGAAAAGAGCTTATCAAAGACCTATTATTTCAATCAGCATTGGACAGACAATTGGAGCAGGAAACAAAACATACCTCCAAAACATTGTAAAGCACATAGAGTTTTATGGCGGCTTGACCTCGGATGCTATGGTACATCCTACTAGCGTCAAACTTCAATAATATAACACAACTAAAGATGATGACGGCTCCTTGGAGCAAATCAGCCTTGTGATGTGAAGATAAAGAAGAAGGTATCGATTTGCTCCTTCGATGCCTACGACCCCAACCTTGTCTTGAATGACGACGATCTGATTCGGATTTGGAATGTTCGCGCGCACCACTGAAGCTCACGGACTCGGTAGTTCTTCCTGGCCGTGACTGGAAAGACGATGTAGTCGAGGCAGGAGGGGGTCGGACTCGAGAAACACTACGAGAGCGAGGTGTAGGATTTGTGTTATCACGACCCTCTCTTTGACGATGCCAAAATCGCCCAGCTCCATGATAAATGAAGCCTAATATAAAACGAGTTTCCTTGGCAAGAACCTCACCCCACCAAGATATCAAAATGGCCAGCGCTTTGAAAAATCTAAGAGGTAGTATGGTAAAAGTATACAGCCATGCATCAAGGCATGCTAAGCTGCCAAAATAAAGTACCTGCTCCAACTGTGGCGGTAATAAAAGGAAGTTTAACAAGCGCTCAAATTTTACTTTTGAAGTTTCGTAAGGATTCTCGCTATTAGCAGATCGGTAAATGTACAGAGGTGATGGTCGAGATGAGGATAACTCGAGTTGCAAGTATGTAGGTATGGACATGGGTGGGAGGGGTATATTTGGGGGTATTGGGGTATGAGATTGTTCCAGCGAACTACTCGGCCCGCTGGGTTGAGTTTTTGGTGGATAATTGAGAGCCAAAGCTTCGGGTCTACTACCATTCGAGGCAGTTTTCCTTCTGGGCGATGATTGACGGGTCGTTTTACTGTACGAGGTCATCCTATTGGAAGCTGGTGGGAGAGCAGATGCGGAACGTGATGAGAATCCAGGTCTCCTGGTGGCCCCAATCGCTGGTGTTGGGCTCACTTCCGCACTTATTCGACGGTCTGTAGTTGAAGGCTGCGAAGTCCTAGGCACCTCAGAGACAGTTGCCTTGTAGTGTACTTCATTTCTTTTTAAGTCCTCTGAGTCCGGCCGGGGAATATCAGATATTGAGCCTTTTCTTTCCAGCACTGGCGACGGAGCCAATGTTGGAAGGCCAGATTTGGGAGACTTTCCCGGAGAAGTAACTGGTAAAGATTCTGGGGCTGAGGTCAACGCCTCCATATCCGCTACGGACAATTTCAAGATTTCGCCATTGGCTTTTGCCGTTGAGACGGACAATTTCCGGGGTTTTCTAATCTTTTCCTCTGGTATATCGGGAAGCTCATGAGTTGCCAATTTTGTTGCCAGTGTTGGAGGTGCAAGAGTTGTATTTTCATTCTCTCGGCGTATAGGGCCAGGACCAGTCGCTGGCTCAAAATATCCCGTCGTCGTAGCCATAATCGGAGAGTGACCCGGGGAGATCGGTGAGAGTGAGGGAGAGGGAAGTTGCTTCACTTCATGGACAGCCAGACTGTTTTTGGAAAGGTCATGTATAGGTAAGCTCGAGGCAAGATTCCGGCGTTGGTGGTTTGATACATCTTGAGACGCCCCATCGGCAACACCGGTACCGTCTTGTGCCACCTGTATATTCTCTCCCGCTACAATATCATGGCTTTTCTCGCCCTCCTCCACATAGATTGCCATCGCGATTGCTTGATGCGTACAAGCATAGGGATTGACAAAACAAATGCGATGTTGGATTTCTTATCGGAGAGGTGTCATATTAGATGGCCGAAGCTTGGAAGAGGCGTTCGGTCACCTGATGAATACTCAAGGGGTGGTTTTCCGGTATTCACCCGGACCTGGCGCCAGGACCGTAGAAAACAGGGGCTGGGACTCTAACCGATCTTCCTGCAGAAATGTCAATAGTTCTCATCTCAGTTTATGGCAAGTCACAACAAATCAAATTACACCAAAATTTTTGAGGCTGTCAAAGCAGATAAATTGCAGGAGATAGGATTATGTATCTAATCACGTACCAATTGTCGATTTCACAAAAGATCGTGGCAAAGAATGCTGATCGTGAAAATTGGCGAGTGAACAATGAAGCCCGGAATGTACCCTAACCGAATTCGATCAAGAGCTAGCATTCCATAGTAAACAAACAATCGACAGAAAAGATAGGGTCTGTTAAAGCAGAACGGACAGAACAAGTTGCTGAAAGTCTCAATAATCGGCTTTCAAAATTAGAGAGCCAATTACCCAATACACCAACTCAGAGTGCACGGCAGCTCCTATCCTCACAATGAGTCCCGCCAAAGTAGCTGCTCCATCGACGGCGATCGATATTACCCGTTATGAAAGACTTGCTCGCGAGAATGACGATGGGCATCTAAATCTGCCAGTTTACGATGTTACTTCAAGGCTTGAGCGTGGTGGGCCGACGACAATTACATGTCCTTTTTCAGGTATGCGATTCTCCTCTGAGGTGACGACTTCTTCATGAATGCTGACATAGGATGTAGGGCCGACTTGGGAGTACGTTTCAACTTTCTTTTAATCACATCCTTGTCCTGACAATAGAGCTCGAACTTGCTAACCCTCAACCTTCGCATTAATAGAGGATATCCGATGGGACAAAATGTTGAATTAGGTGCCACAATTGCCGGTAAATTCGATCAGAAAGAATATAACGCACAAGAACAGTCGAGATATCTGAACAACCTTGAAATTACATATGTCGTGGAGCCTTTCGGAGATCATGTCAAAGAAGATGCTGCGCTGATCGTCATTATGGAAGAGGAATCGGGTATCAACTATGATGCCAGGATACTGTAAGTAAATCTTGACCTTACTTGTTTGGAACAGCAAAAGTTCTAATCAGTGAACAATAGATGTAATCAATTCGCCGCGGTAAATAACTTCACCACACCACTTGATGAAAGAACGAAAGCTAACAAGTTCTCAAGGCAGGATATCTCGTCGTCATGGTTAGTATCACTCACTATTCGAGTTGTAGAAAAAGCGATAGGAAATTAACAGTCATTCACAGCCCCATTACAGAGGCAAACGGGAACCACTGAGGGGAGCAGCAGACGATGAAAAAGACCTTTTGGTTCCTGACCGTTCGTGATTTTTCATTGCCCGTACTCTCCCATGATCATCCCGTTTAACCATCTGACTTTCACAGCGGACACAATCCAGATGGGCAGATTAGATGAGAGCGACGCCGTACAAAAGTCTCAAGTTGCTACAGCAGTGCTGTACCTCACCAATTACCGCAAAAGAACCAGGATCGGAGGACTCGCATTTGGCAGCGCATCAACGCTCCTTGAATTCATGGAAGACGCGCCACCAGCGAGGGGCCGAATTCGGCTGACTCACATCAATCCCAAGGAGAACTACGACAGTCTCGTCCACAATAGCACTAAGAAGATCAAAGCCGGGTTCGTGTGTCATATCCGAAGAGAAGAAGCGATATACTTCGACCCCCAGAGAGTCCGGGGTTCAACCCAGACTTATGGACCTATATCGTTGGCTGTGGGTGAGGAGCGCGAGAACCAGAGCATGATTGCGTATGAGACCGAATATAACCTCATTCGGACATACCTGCGAGCATCCAATCAACCTTATCAGTTTGTGAGATATGGCCAGGTTAGTGGGGATTTTGGAGTGCGTCGGCCTCACTCGGAAAACACGAAGGAAGAGATCTCTGCGAAGAGGCAGGCTTTTGTTCAGGCTATTACTTTCATGGAGGAATGGTTGTAATGTTGTATGGAGCTAATTTGTTTTGGGGTGTTGGAAGACGGGTAATATGGAGGTGTGCTTGGAGGACTTTATCACTACAAATAATTTCATTATATCACACAAACCGCGTCTTTACCGAACATCCTTGAGTCCCTCGATTACAAAATCTCTTTGAACTTTATTAATAGTCCTCTATGTCTTTTGTGTATCTTACTGCGCTGAAAACCGTAGGATATCCCTATCCAACCCCCTCACCCACTCTCCAACCCAACCCACAACTAACCACTAACTACAAGCATGTTCCTGTAAACCCACAAAATCAAAGTAATACTATCCCTCGAAACCCTCTCCACCAGGGAATACATAAATACGTAACATAAGTTTAGTCACTCTCGTGTTATGGTGTTTAAAAGCACTTCATCCATCCCACAAAGCATTCCAATTTAGCAATTCCCAAGTCGTGAGACGAAGGTACAGCCCTTTCACTTAATTAACAAGAAACAAGGGTTTTATGCAAACAGTAGCACTTTTCGCTTAAAATATAGCCCTAAGGTGTCACATTACTTTTCTACTATTTAGCCCTGACCATAAGGCCAAATAATTAAAGCATAAAGCTGAAAGTACCCTACTAAGCCATCTGATAGTAGACATATAAAAACAAACCACGAAAATATATAAAAGGGGTTAAATTCGTATTAGAAAGTCCTGCTAATTAAGTGAAGGGGCTATATATGTATAGTCCCTTCACTTAATAAGGCAGAAACAAAGATCTTATACAAATAGTCCCACTTTTAACTCCATATAATCCTATAGTTATACACTACTTTCATACTATTTAACCCTAACCTAAAGGCCCGGCCAAATAATTAAAGTATAAAGCTAAAAGTACCCTGTTAAGCCATATAATAGTAGAATTACAAAAACAAACTAATAAAATGCACAGAACTGTACAAAAAGTTCTAATTGTACATACATGTAAAACTTTCTTACTACTTTTGCGAAGGGACTGTAGACCCCGCCCCAGAACAGCCATGACTTCGCACATCCAAATATCACCACAATACCAGCACATCACCAAAGCTCCCAACTTGTACAAAACCCCGTATGTGCACCAGCAGGCCCAAATCGCATTCATCACAGCTCACACGAGTAACTCACCAAGAAACCAACAACAACCAGCCCAAGGCAACTCATAAAACAATTCACAAACCAACAGATTCTATTTTTCTTTAAAAAAGAAGATGCTCAATTCCGCTGACTCCCTGCGAGGGTATCCCTGTAAATGTGTATGTACAAGTGTCAAAAAAAAAAGAAGGAAGCAAAATCACAACGCCATTTTGTTTCAGAGAAGAACTCCTCGCCCTCCTGTCAAATCACACCCAGTATTATCTCTCCCATCCTCCCCTCCACATTAGCACATCCTTTTTGTGAAAATCCTCATATCCACAAGTACAAGAAGAAGAAAAAAGGGCAAAAGAAAATGGCTATTAATTCATTTCCTGCATCAAAAAAGCGCCAAATATTTCACTACTTCCTCGGCAACTCCTTTAATACCTTGCGAAAGATCTCACGACTCTTGTAAAGATTGCTGACTCTCAACCGCTCATTATCCAGATGTGCACTATCACTCGCCTGTCCACAAGGTAAATGCGCAGCCGGAGCCCCAAATTCCTTCTCCAGGAATCGGATACTTGGAATGGAGCCTCCTTCCCGGATATATAGTGGTTTTCTGCCTCGTCTGGAATTACTCTCTGACTCAGCGCGGGCAGAATTACTGGTAGCAGAAGAAGCAGGAAGTGGGGCTTCAGCCAGGGAGGTGTGATCGCTGCCATTGGTGAGAGTCTTGGTGGTTGCGGGTGTGGGCTTGAGACTTGGACTCGCATTTGGAGTGGATGTAGTTTGGAGAATTTGTTGGCGAGGCCCTGGGCCACTTGGTCGTCGAGGTTTTCCTATGGGGCCCCAGACATCCATGATTGCTTCCTCAAGGGTTTGGAAAATCTCGTTATCGGGGTCTCCGAGCCAGGCATCGGCTTGGTTGTCTATCGTGATGGACATGTGGTTGTGAGTGTCGAGTGTTGCGAACGTATCTTGAAGGAAGTTCGTAAGAGACTTGATTACGTCTTCGACCTCTTGATTTGGTACAAGGCGCAAGGAAATTGCTGCGCTTGCATGGGAGGATACCAATGACCCATCAGGACCAGACACTTTATAGCGGTGGATAGTCAGATTCGGCTCGCGCCATCTGGCCATTAGAGATGCTTTGAGAGTCTCAGAAGGGCCCAGTTCAGGATTGCGTTGTATCAAAACATCAGTGATATCGTTGTAGCGTGCCTCCTCTGCATCGGTCAAGGGCAAGATATCATCATAAAATCCAGGAATTTGTATGCGATTATGAAGCCCCTTGAGCTTGGCGAGAACAGAGGTCAAGTCAAATAGAGGTTCATCCATCATGAAACTTCCATCTACACCACTGTGTACATCAGGATGGTTGCTATCAACCTTCACCGTAGCATGAAGCATTCCTCGTAGACCATAAGTCAAGCAAGGAACTTCATCGTCTAACCAATAACTATTGGCTAGAATGATATAGTCGATATCTCCAATGAGTTCTTTGTGCCTTCGAACAGCATCCTTGAAGCCACGAGATCCCGATTCTTCTTCGCCCTCGATAAGAAACGTCACATCGGACTCAAGTTCTTGCGCGTGAACAAGGTCGACCACACCATACATAGCTGCCATTATCGGTCCCTTGTTGTCAGAGACTCCTCGGCCATATAAGTATCCATTGACACCCTTCATCTCGAATGGGTCAATTATCCAGTGGCCCTGTTTGTTATCGGCTGGAACCACATCATCTATTTTTAACATCAGTACAAAAGTATTGAGCTCGAGGGAAGGTACTTACAGTGTCCGTAGAATAGAATCTTCTTTCGTTTGGCGGAAACTTCTGGGTTGCCCTTGAACTTCGCATATACCACAGGGTTTTGCCGTGCATTTGTGTTCAGCATCTCTGTCTGCGCCCCATGCTTTTTGAAAAGAGTCCGAAGGAACGTGGCTCCCCTTCGACAATCCTCTGCATGATCAGGCCGAGAAGAAATCGTCTTAAAGGATACAAATTCTTGCAAGGACTTGATAAGCTGACTGTCAGGCACCTCAGACCTCCCAAGTCCGGGCGACTCTGAGATGCAGCCAGTAAAGTTCCATATCGAAACAGAGTTGTCGTTTCCACCCGTGATGTAGAGTTGCTGACCCTTGAATATAGTAACAGCTGACGCTAAGATCCGACCCTCGTGGGCTCTCCATCTACTCATACAACGGTATTTTTGGCTAAAGGAGGTCGTATTTTGGTATTGGCCGTACTGTACGGTGCTATATTTCTGTTGTGAGGTTGGTCAGCAGCTATGCAAGAAAACCGATATGAGAACGCTTACCCTCGCAAAGCCCGTCGATCCTGCGCTCCAAAGATACCCCCAGCCCATCTGCAAAGTCATAACATCTCCCTTATGTGCTCTAATCACTCGTAACTTTTGTTTGGTGTCCAAATCCCACAACTCAACAACTCCCTCAAGCTTGCTGCTATATAGAAATGATCCATCTACAGCCATTGACAACACAGATTCGGCATCGTCAGTCCCTAGACATGCCAGTTCCTTTATGGGTTGGCTGTCATGGGCAAGCTTCCAGATTTTGATCGTACCGTCTCCACCACCAGATATCAAGACATCTTCGTCGGATTCCACCAGTCGAGTTACCCCTCTAACCAACAGCATACAGTATACATAACCATAGTGGGCATACTGCATCATATGTGCCTTGTCTATCTCCAAAACTTCCCCATCACTGAGAGCATTTCGACTGGGTTGAGGGCGAGGGGTTGAGGTTCCTCCATGCTGTACAGAATCGAAGAATCTGTGGTTCCGTCGGTCTGGGTGGCTGTCTGGGTTTGGGCGAGGTCGTGTTGCTGAATCTTTCAAGCTACACCATTGGATACTCGTATTTTGTGCCCCCAGATAGACCGTCTCGAACTGCTTGGAGTATGCCACGCTGAAGACATCACCCACATCGTAAGTACTGTAGATATGATATAGCCGCTTCAGATCGTTTGGGCACCAAGCATTAACGATGGCATCGCCCGCACTGGAGAAGAGTAGTTGACCATCTGCTGAGAGGAACAGACAGAGCACCGCGCGGGTATGTGCTTGAATTCGGTGAACGAGCTCAAATGAGGCCAATGACCAGACGACTATCTCCCCATCCTGTGATCCTGCATATATGTATTTGTCCCCTACGGCGAGCGCAAGAACGGAGCTGTCATTCTGCAGATGGTGGGCGAGCTCTGGTCGTTCCTTGGATCGCGCAACGTCGGTGTCGGTGATTCCATCTTCATCGTCATCCAGGTCATCGTCACTTCCTCTGTCTGTTGCTGGTGGAGGATTAGCGATGTGCGAGAGTAGAGAGTTGGGATACACGGTAGCTATGCCTCTTGTACCAAAAACTGAAGCCATCCCAGGATGTGGTTGGCATGAATATCCAATACCTTGCGGAAGTCTCCCACTTGCGGTTCGTTCATCAGATGTGGGGGGTTTTTTGTGTGGTTGCCCCCCCACGCCACTAAGGTTTGCTCCCCCATCCATCACACAACCGAACCATTGACACATCGCCGTACTAGAACACTAATTCTATCGCCGATGAAGGTATACAGAAACGCAGGTACGAGATGAGAATGAGCAGTACTCACATAGACCTGAGGATTCGTCCTCTCCCTCCTCCACCTCGTCACTACGGTAGGGAAGCGCAAGTAGTTCGTCCTCCTGGGGACTCTCCAGACGCCCCTCTTCTGTCGCAGTCCAGGTTGAAGCGTTGCACATGACTGTTTTGGGAAGTAGTGCTCTTCTTACGCAGGCATTCCACTGCGAAAGTTCCTCGCTGTCCTCGCCGTCCTCGCCGTCCTCGCCGACTTTGTTGATTGTGGGAGCCCATGTTCTCGCTTGTGGGTTGGTTGTATTACTGGGATTGCGTGACCATGGCTCTCAATGGCGTCTTGTGTGGGACTCCATGCAATATAAAAAGCGCTGGGAATTGAGACCAAAGTCAACTTTCTTTTGTTTCTGTCTTGTCGCATCTTCAGTACGCTTTACACGTCATGCTATAGCCGAATCGAATCGTATCCTATTGGAATGGAATCTTCGCTTTCCACAACCACCTGCAGTTCAGCTTGCATAGGGGTTTATGGCTCCCATGCACACATCTATTCCAACATCACCAACCAACTCATGATCGGCATCCAAGAGCCGCACAGAGCTGTGTAGCCTGAGTGGTAAGGGATGATCATGCCTGGAACTGCTGAAACTCATACCTTTCAATCATGAACTGGCGGTGGATACGAAGTAGCAATCAGAACAAAGTCGCCATGAATACAATTACTCGTCAGAACATCACACAACGAAATGTTATTTGTAAGAACATCACAGGTTACATTTATTTCTAATTCAATTACACAGGAGTATATAATAGCCAGTTTTGCCATGTATTTGAAGGACATCAATACATCTTCTAACACCACCAAAACGACTTCGACGCATTCAAACACGAAGCTGCATAATCGCAAACGAGATCATGGAACAGTCTCAATCTTATACTTCTGGGCTACCGACTCGTATTTATTCTGCCTACTCGTATTCTTCTCTCCCAAGAATCCCAAGAAGATTGGATTCAGACTTAACCCAAAGAAGCTCTGCCTTACCTAATGACAACACCGATCTTCATAGAAATGAATCTGAAAGTTTCTTCGCAAACGAAGGGACCTATTCTGAAAACCACAACACTTCTCACACTCCCGAGTCAATAAGGGAGACCACACATCCACGCTACAACTACGGACGAGGCTATTCAGACCACGTAGGCATTCCAACCAGAACGCATGGTCTTGATACTGGGGGGGAATTTTGAGCCGAGACTCCCAGAAGCTGAACGGGGAGCACGTCCAGAACCAAACTCTCCTCCTGAGAATGGACCAAATAGACCATCTGTCTCACACATCCAACCCCAAAGCCATGTCATGCCCGCATCTGAAGAACTGTCTGCGGCCGCTCATGCTTCTCCCTCAAGCGGCAGCTCAAACATAGCTCAACAGGAAGATGACGGTGAGGAAGCAGCAAACGAACCATTTACGTCTGATTCCCAACCTGTTCTCACCGATTATTCTGCTGGACTCTCGTCAAACCAACATCTCGATATTATTTCTTGCTTGGGTTATAAGGCTCAGAGCATCAAACCTCTTTCATGTAGTTGTGGGCGGCGTTGGAGTCCCTGAACACATCCATACTCTAGTAGAATATGCTGAGTGGATGTGTCAACCTGGGTATTGCTATATACCCGAACATTTTCATTACACCAATCTAGATGGTCAAAGGGGGTGTACTCATGGCTCTTGCCACGTCTGGTCACACCATGCATATTAAGCCAAAAAGAGGAAGGACATTTGGGGTATTGTTTTTTTTTCTTCAGTGTTCGTTGATCTAGTTGTAGTTCTTAGACATTTCCTGCAGGAAAAAGTATTGAAAATATAGCGTTGATTCTATAATTCCTTTTTGCCACCCAATTGTGTTTTTCTGCTTGCCTGATTACTCAACTCCTCTTCTTCATTTCAAAGATCTTGCATTGACTGCGTTCAGAGGTGATCCAAACGACTCCAGAATAACTGGACGATTCAAGCAAGCAAAGACATAAACAAACTTCAAGGCTGAAGTAGTTTTATCATCCATGTCCCTCCCTTCTAAACTCTCTAGTTGGTGAAAATTCTTACAGTAATAGGAACCACACCACCCTACCATGTTCTCCAAGTGATACTTGCATGTATAAAGATCAGCTACACTGTTCAAGCTTCTACCCCAAAAAAGACATTCAATATAGTCAATCATGCAAGAAGCTCAGAGTAGATGTGTCACTGAAACCTTCTTCTAGTCTCACTAAGCGTTCCTATCCAAGCCAATATCTTCATAGCAACCACATCCACTTTCTTTAGCATTCAGAAACTTCCCTTCTATTATACTCAAACACTCGTAGGATCAATGAATAGGGCTAAAGAGAAATCAAGACCAGCACAAGTCCAAGAACTGCAAAGCGAAATATCTCATCCAACTAAACACTCAATTCCTGCCGATCCTAGCATATAAATAAAGGCTAGGTTAGTCTCTTGAGTCCTCATGGGAAACCTAATAATCAATACGCCATATCATTTCCTCTTTCCGCTACAGCTCTCCCTTGGTGCTCACCAGTAATACACACAACATGACACCTATGCCCAAAGCAACATTAAGAATGGAAAAAACATCCTACCTTTTCAACCTCATCTATAAGTTCGGATAAATTCCAGACTGGATATTTACTGTCGATTTTTCATCTACCGTCGAATCATCGCCTTCTTTACTCGAAGATCAAATCAAGAGTGCTGTTTTCTGCCAAACTTTACACACATCCCTTCATTATCCAACTCAAGCCAGACTAAATGAGGTCAAGATTATAAGAGTGTGATGGAAAGAAAGGTAGCATGAAGGGGATATCTCGTCGGTGAAGTTGGATTGGAAACAAAATGCCTCTCTCCTAAGCCTCACATTATTTATAGATAAGAGGGATTTAAAGGGGATACGGAAGCAAATAGAAAGATGAAGTTTCCAAATCACCATATGATATATTACCCACGTCTCAATACTGTTGTGCTTGGGTCAATTTATTAGCGTTCTCTTTTCTTGAAGTTACTGGATGGTATGTACATGAAGTCACGTCTAACCACCCAGGATCCAAAAGAACATCGATGCTCACCACAACTCTGCGGATGAACAGTGATTCTATGACTGTTGTATTCTCGATCATGTAAGACTGTGAATATAACAGTTTTATCTGCACCTTTATGGAACGCTACATCCCTTTTGCAGGCAAAGAATGTCATTCATTGAATCGTTGTCTTTAATCAAGCAAATAGGGCATTCGGCTAAATACATCTGTAGCTACAAACATTGCCAAGCAAGCTCTCTGTTATAACATTCCGAAACTATCATATTGCTTTCTTCTTGGCTATAGGGATCTGAGTTCAAACTCTGCGATATTGTGCAACATTTTGCAAAAGCTCAAGTAGATAGGATAATACACAGCCATTCACTCATCGTCTTTTGCTAAGGGCTTTTGGCTTCAAAGCCACAGTAGGATGGGGAAGTGATAATCGGCTCGGAGGAAATTTTGATTCTGGTGGAGGAATTGAGGCTGAGCGAGTAGAAGGTCTTCTGATCGGTGGAGGCGGCATCTTCAATCGATCATTGCTTGAATTTCCAGTCATTGAAGCTTTGGATGCCTTGGGGGACACGAGTTCCGATCCTGACTTTCGCTTTTGCCCAAGCCCTGTGCCATTCCGACGAGAGACCCCGCCATTGTGGATAGGAGAAGTTTCTGGTACAAGATAAGGCTTTATTGGTGTTGAACCAGAAACAACACGATTATAAGGATTTCCTCGTAGCGCAGGTGGTGGCTTTCTTCGCACTGGCTGGTCTGCTGTCACCCCTATACCTTTTTGGGCGCCTGAATCTGTTGAATCTTGGGAACCTGTGGAGCTAGCCTTGAGAGCGCTCTTGAGCTGAGCAGAAGAAGTTGCGCGATGGTTCGGTTGGCTCGATCGTCTCTTAGCTCTGTCGAGTATATTTTGAGCTCGTATCTTCTCAAGATCTTCATCAGGGTCCAAGAAATCACGAGAGCTCTTTCTGACTCTCGCCTTCTCATATACCTTGCCTAGTTGATCGTAGTCATCATCTGAGGTGGGAACAGGCATGAACTCGTCTATATCTGTGAGCTCGCTCATCGCACTAGAGCGCCCAGATCCGGTTGCCGAAAGCGATTTCGGAGGGGTCCTTTGCATAGGCTGCGATGACCGGCCTTGGCTGAATCCATGATCTTCCGTACTGGTGTTTTGTAGACGCCCTTCAGCAGCTTCCTGTGATTGGGAATCTGGTATAACGACCGGTTCACGAAAATCAAAACCATCACCTGTTGTTCGGTCCCAACGTCCAAATGGTATGCGCTTCGTGGGTAACGAGGGTCCTTTCAACTTTTCTTGGTGCAACTGACTGACCTCGATATCACGGTATCCTTGGCTTTCCGGGATCTCTCTGCGACTGAAATCCTTCTGCGAATTCTTTCGAAGCATGTCTCTCGGAGACCCCATAATATCAAGCCGTGAAGCCTTATCTTTCAGTTCTGCCTTGAGCTCTGAGATTTGCTTTAGAAGTACCTCCTTTTCTGCAGCTACTTGACTCGGCTTTAGCCATTTGGCAAGTTCTGCCTTCAGATCCGAAACTTGATTCTGGAGCGTTTCAATCTCAGAAGTAAGCTCATCGGTATGCTTCTGAGCTTCAGCCTTGCTACTATCTTGTGCTTTCCGATAGCGTTCTACTTCCTCTGTCAACTTCTTGATGTTCTCAAGTTGAGTAGTTGACTTGGGCTTCAATTGATTGAGTTCGGACTCCACCTCCTGGAGTGTTTGCTTAAGACTTTTAATCTTTCGATCAGATTGAAAAGTAGACTCTTTTCTAACCTTTTCGGCTATCTCGTTGTCCTTCTTCTTCTCTGCTATGAAAGAGTCCCGAATCTCTTGCTTTTCCCCCTCGTGACGACTGCACTGATTCTCGTAATCTCCAACTTTCTTATGAAGTGTCAGGTTTTCTTCTCTCAAACGCGTGGACTCTTGAAGTTGACCTCGAAGACCTAGGTTTTCATCTTCAAGTTCTTCAATTTTGGCGACCAAACGCGGGTCTTCCTTCGGCAAAGCCTGTAGTGCCTCCAGTTCCTGGGTCTTGAAATCTAACTGGTTACGGTACTCATCCACGTGGCGTTGTGTTTCTTCGAGTTGTCCAGCTAGCTTGTTCTTTTGTTGGTTGCTAGAGGTCACAGTAGCGGATAAGGTGCTGTTGTTTTGCTGGAGCTCGGTAATTTGAGCTGTGAGGTTCACCTGTGCCTGGGAATCGGAGACGAAACTGTCCAGCGACGTCTTAAGCTCCCCAAACAATTTAGAAATAACCTGCTCAGTAGAAGCTTTTTCATCTGGTGGCGGGGTTGATGGTTGTGGAATTTGAGCAAAGAGCTCTTCGATGTGCTTCACCAAAGAAGACGATGGCTTTATCTCTTGTGTTTTCAATTCCCCGAGAACCTCAAGAGCAGCATCAATCCTGAAAGAGTCAGCATTGCGATTACTTTACATCTAAACTAAGGGTAGAAGAAGGTGGCTTACTTGTTCTGAAGGGAGACCTGCGTCGAGAGCAAATCCGCTAAGGGACCGTTGTCTTTGCGAAACTCTGCGGTAACCTTCTGAGGGAGATCTTCCAAGGTACTGATGAGTTTTGCGTGTGCCTCCTTTTCACCCTTCAACTGCTTCTGTAACTTTTCGACTTTTGACTTCTCTTCCTGTAGATCGAGTAGATACTTGTTGATTGCGGCCTTGTAGCTTTTGACGGTTTGATCGACGGCTGCCTTGTCCGCCTTGACTACTCATGTGTTAGTATGACCATTGATGCAGGTTAGTATCTAAGTAATCTCTGAATAACAGCTTCTTCGCATATTCTAGAAACTTAGAATAGCGGAAGCTGTTTCGCTGCCGTTGAAAAGGTTCCAAACATACCTTTTTTAAGATTATTTTGAACACCTTCAAGATCGTTCCGGGCTTTGGCTGTAACCTTTTCTGCCTCTGCAGCAGAGTTGAGTTCTGCCTTTGCAGCCTTGATTTCTTCAAGCACTTGTGCGATTCTGTTAATGCTTTCTCTGTTTTTTTCTTGTTCCTTGGCCTGGATCACCTCTGCTTGTGATTTCAAAAAGTTCTGGAGCTTAACGACATCATTCATGTGCTCCTTGTATGCACTCATTCGACGCTCCCATCTCTCAACCTTCTCCTTGGTCTCGTGTCTTTTAGCTTCCAAGACTTCCTTGGCCTTACGGAGTAAATCGTTTTCTTCCTTGGTTGACTGCAGATCCCTATGCACTGAGGAATTCTGCTCCATTAGCTGTTTATGGATAGACTGGAGTTGTTCATCTTTCGATTCTAAGTCCGATTCCAAAGCAGCTATCTTTTCCTCGTAGACTCTGCCAAGAGACAGACGCCATTCCAATGATGACGATAATTTTCGGACATTCTTTGGTTTTGGCGGTGCCGTTCTCGCTGTCGGTGTTTGGTCTGATGTGGATGCAACGGGGGGATTTGCTGGCTCCTGAGAATTACCATCAGCTGCCTGATCGACCTCCAAAGGCACGTGTGTATCGTTGATTTTTGGAGAGCTACCGGTCACTTTCGTCGACTGTAATTTCGCACTGGAACTACTGGTGGCTAGAGGCTTTGAAACTTTCGAATTGTGCCTAGCTCGGAGTGCCTGAGACTTGGATGTAGTTTCTGCCAAAGAGGTAGAAGGGGCTTTTGTGATCCGGACAGACATGTTAGAGCGTTGGGATATCATTGATCCCACAGGAGAAGGTGCCTCTGCCCGAACGACTGGCGGGGGAAGTACAACGTCCTGTGGTGGAAATCTGGGAGCCCTAGGACGTGCTTCGATATTTCGAGGTTCTTCTAGGCCAGCTTGGATACCATCAAAAGCAGTATGGTTTTCGAGTGGATGGCTTACTCGTACTTGGTCTGGAAAGTGATGAGAGCCATGATTCGTAGCATCAGTGGCGGCCTTCGATTTGGGTTTGGCTGGCTGTTTGAAATGATTCGACTCCGCTTGAACTTCTGGAAAAGGACGAGCTATGGATCGCGAGGTCCTATGTGGTGGAGGGGCTTTAAAGTTGGTTTCTCGTACCAAACTCTTTCTTCGAGTAGGGGGCTTGCCAGCCGATCGTGGGGCAGGTTGTCCGTTGAGAGGTACTTCTAGTTGAACTGCTCCTCGCAGGGCGGCCTGTTGGGGACCAATGGCAGGATTATCTGCCATTTGTGGCCAAGGAGCTGCGGGGCGTGGCAAGCTTTTAGGTACAGGCTCTTCTACTGTTACTTCAGGGGCGGTCTTTGGTGTTGGTACAGCTGTGGTTTGCTGTAGAGCTGGAGAATCAAGTGCATGCTGAGGAAACTTGGTGCGAGAAGGGGTGATCGGACTCTTGCTTGAGGAATCTGCCTGATGATGAGATTGAATAGTTGGCTTTCGAACGTGCGAAGTGACAGACATATTTTCGGAAGTTCCAGATCCTGCTTTTGCGGATGGAGGTTGACCAGAAACAGACTTTGTGCCATTGCTTCCGAGGACAGTTGACGCCCGACCTGATGCACTTGACGAAGTATGACTCGACTTGGAATACTGTGAGACAACGGAAGTTTTGACGGTAGCATTGACGAGTTTGATAGAAGCTGCACTGGTCATATCGGGATTTGATGGAGCAGCTTCAATGCTACCCGCAGTGGTATAGAACGGAGCAGGTTGGCCAAGCTTAGCAGCTGAAGCTTGTCCAGAGAGCTTGTCATCTTTTTCATGAGAAGCTGCAGATGCCGCAGAGGGCTTTCTCTGCTTGGGATTGTGTGTGTACTGACCTGGAACTGGTTTGCTTGGCTGTCCGAATCTGAACCCAACGTTGATATCGTCGAGGTCAGGTTCAGGGAGACGTGTGAAGTGAGGTTCATTGACCGGAAGGAACGCCTGAGCATCCCGAACGATAGAAGTAAATGCGGATGCGGATCTGTTGAAAGCGATTTTCTCTGGAGCCTGTGTGTCAATCTCAAGATTCACAAACTGGGTTTCCTCGACCACACTGGCAGGTTGAGCATCGATACGACGAACACTTTCATCGACCTCGATGCCTTGCTGATCATTGTCATCAGACATGACTGTGTCATCGCTACCAAAATCAGCAGCCTGGACTGGAGGATCGTAGTCCGGCTGCACGATTTGGCTCTCCTGCACGGCAGGGTCGAGCATCTTGCAGTTGCCTGTGCAGGCAATCCGCCGATGTGGTTCTTACGACGTCTGGCAGACCGTAAGAAGTGTGCAGGTACTTTTGAAATCAATCCGTTGATGAATAGAGGAGGGCTGGGCAAGATTCCGATGGCGGAAGTGAGGATGGATGTGGTGAGGTTGAAAAGAAGAAGACGTCTCGACGTTGTGGAAAACTTGAATTTCCAACCTCGCTTACATGCCCCAATTCGGACGGGCACCAGGAGCTTGAGGAAGGAGCTCGATGCGTTCTTTCCTCGCAACGTAGAAAATGTGCAATTGAGGGAAGCCACCACCAGATACGTCCGGTGGACAGAAGCTATACAAACTCGACATACTGTACAGGCTGGAGGCTACAAATGGGGGTGCAAGATTACCATGTTGCAAATCCAAGGGCTGGACTACATCCAGCCTCGACGACGACCAGAAATGCCAGGGTCTCTGGGGAAAATGTCATTATCGTCGAGACCTGTGAATATTGGTATAGGTATGCCACCACAGGCGTGGTTGAGGGGATTCCAATTCCTGCTACCTCCAAGATCTTCGAGAGACTTAAAACCGCATACATACAATAAACCACTAGTCCATTTCCACGCCCACATGACCAAAGAGTGCGTAATCTGTGATAATAGACAACACGCGGCCTAAGTGAAGGACACATCGAAATTAAGCCAATGCACCAACATTGAGCCTGGAACCTTTGGAGATCAACAGCCTGCTCATCGATCAGTACAGCCACTAAGCCTGACTCCATGGCCGTTCGAGTAATCAGAGTACCGAGAATGAATATAGAAGACTTGTTTCAAGAGGCTCTATCAAAATATATAAAAGGAAACATTGATACGGCACTCCCAAGACCCGAGACCACTGCAGGCAAAAGCCATTTATCCACGGAAAATTAGAAACAATAGAGTTATCTTGCATTTGTGCAACACACCATCTGCACGACGGAAAGAGAGACGCCACATACGAAGTGTTGTTGTTTTAGAGGGAACTTGAAGGTACATGATGTGAAATAGAAGTTTTTTGATTCGCGGTGAAAGGGGATTTCCTACCAATGTCGTATCTTGAATTGATAGGTATTTGATCTGTGTTAAGACCCAACGGAACATTGGGAATTTGCACCTCTCGAACATGGGATACTGGATAATCTGACAGGCCGAAGTACTTGAATGACAACCTGCCAGAAGATACGAGGGATTCTGCTGCTCGAGACCTAATGAACTTGACTTTTGCGCGATCGAAATTACCTCTCTGCTAGCATGTACACCACATTTCAATCCCCGCCTCAAGCAGAGAAGATTGAAAATAGGTACTGTACCCGCAGACAAGAAAATCCCAAGTTCATCATCCAGCCAGAGCAGCGAACCCACCATAGGGTACCTTGGCAACCCTCAAATTCTCAATCCCCAAAAACAACACCAAGCGGTTTGACCAGACCAGAAGAATATACTTCTCTAAACCCCCCAATTTTATTCAAACCCACCTTGAACCTTCTCTCCCATTGCCAACATCTCCATCCACCTCCCATGAAACAACCCAAACTAATCGTAGCCATCAACCCGCAATCGAGAAAACTTCTCATCCCCACCACCGCCAGCAAACCCGCAAATCTCTACCTCTCCCCAAAAGCCAAGATCGTCAGAGTACCTCACCAACCAACAAAAATTCTTCATCAACCTTAGCAGCGCGTACCACGACGTGCCAGCACGCGCAGATTGCATAAGGTTAGGTAGACACCACCGGCACTCACCATCCCGAACACCCACCCAACCACCCCACCATGCATCGCGTCTGCAATCGTCTGGCATTGGAGCATACTAATAGACAAGGGATTAGCAAAGCAGCCGACAGGATCCCCTAAATAGCAGTGATATCTCTCGAGCACATAAGATCTCATCCGCCAATGCTGACGTCGAAATCAGGTGCGGGGGAGGTATCTATCAAGGGGGAGAAAAAAAAGAGGGGGTGAGCCTTAGTGGGATGGCAGTCCGCCAGTCTCTGGTAAGCAGCCCCTGCAGGTGCTCGCCAAACAAAACGCAGCAGCATGAAAATAGCACATAAGCGCCCACGACCAACCAGGGGCTGGTGGCCGTTGGTTAGATGTGGTGAGAGGAGTGAGAAAGGATAGCCAATGAGGGATTGCAGTTCGGAAGCTCCATCACCCGCTTCTATCTCCAGATCTCTGAGTAGTGGGAGTTTCACGGTTGAACAACTCGACCAGGGCCGTGTCCAATGTCGAGATGGCACAAGAATGGAGACCCAATGACGGACCCGCATCTACGCGCTCCCTTCTCATAAGTAAAAAGAAGGTGATGCCGCTGCATCAGGAGAGAATGCAATCACACCCAAGATCACTGCAGACTCCCATTCCTCAGACACCGTGCACACCTCAGGCTGATTCTCATCACTATCACACATCGAAGCGCCGCCCAATTCGCATTTTCATTGGTTCGTGGGCTATATAGCGAGATACATTGGGGAAGATATATACAATATGAAGTCCTTTCTTCTAATCAGCTTCCTGCTGAACTTTCTCCTCCTGAATGCTACGGCTCAAGATTTCATTACTACCGCCAAACCAACTGCTACTTCATCTGTTGTTCTTACGCCTGAAATGTCTGCAAGCGCCGCTTCCTCTTTCTTCTCTTCCTTAGCAACTACAGCACCCCAACAACCCGGAGAAGGCGAGTTTTGCCTGAATCCAGACCCCCGTCATATTCAACAAAAAGCTGATACTTTTGTTTTTTAGCTCTTCCTGGAGATGCTGGATCAAACGCCGGAGCTGGAGATAGTGCAGCTGGTGCAGCTGGGCATGATGCGGGTTCAATTACTCTGTCGAGAGGAGCTATAATCGCAATCATTGTCATTGCAAGCGTGGTTTGCATTTTTGGTAGTAAGCCCAGCCCTTCCATAGAAAAAGCCGATGCCTGGGTTAACCATACTTGTAGTTGCCATGTCAGTACTTTGGTACTTTGCGAAGAAGAGATCATGGGAGGTCCGCGCGACACTCAGGAAATCCGCACGAAAAGTCGCCAGCGCCTTGACTCCAAGAAGAACAACCTTTCCAAAAGACGTGCAGACCCCTCGAAGGTCCACTAGAGGTTTGACCAAGATTGAAGAGGTCCCCAACACACCAAGAAACCAAAACAACGACATCGAGAAGGGAGGAAAGATGGCAGCATTTGAGATGTCTGAGCCACCAAAAAGTTCCAAATGGGGAAGGAAGCTAGGCCGATAATCAAGGACAAGGTCCTGTGACGAATTTGATATCCCGTTTGATATTTGTGGTCTGATAAGCGTTGGCGTTCGTTTGGAGTACCATTTTTCGAGTATATATTTAGGGGCTTGGTTATAGGTTGAACATAGGGATTAGATTCGATGACATTACAACTTCCTGAAAACGTTGCCACTAGCGCTTCTTCTACCATCGTCCCTTCGTCCCTTTCGTTCGGTTGGTTTTGGTTTTTCTTCCTTCTTTCGTCCGGCTGGTGCAAAAGTAATTGACCGTTCTCCAACCACATCCCCTCTGTTCTTGCTGATGCGGCCGTTCCCTTGCGAACGGCCACCCAAGGAAGTGTCTTGCTTTTGATGCCCAGATTTCTTGTAAGACGAAGAAGATATACGCATCTCTGGCTTGACCTTCTCCTTGGGTTTTGGAGCATTTCCATCGCTGTCACTACCCTCACTATCATCCGAGTCACTGCCAGCACCCACTGCACTAGGCTGGCCTGCAACGCCAACCTTGGTACTTGGATTGAGCATCTGAAATTCTCTGCTGCGTTCATCAACAGCGAACTCCTCATCCTCAAACAATTTCCCGAAACGTTCATCACCCAGTACCCCTTTATCTTGGTCAACCACTTGTCTTCTCTCTTGCCTCTTGAGCATTTTGTCGACCAGATTTTGATTGACCTTAACTTTCTTGCCACCCCTAATTCTGCTGGCGCGCTCCTTCTCGACCTTTTCTTTGACTCTCTTCGTGCGTTCATCATCCCAGATGTAAGGGTTGGCGATGAGACGTGCTTCCTCGTAGAGTTTCGATGCAACAAAGTAGCCGTGCATGTATGGGCGTAACAAATTTGTTTTTCCAACCAAATGGCCAAGGTTGAGTGACTTGAGTTCGGGTAGTGTCAAGAATTTGTAGTTGTCGTAGGTCTCCGCTGGCGCTTCTTCAGCCATTTCTTCCACCATGTTGTCCAAGAAAGAGCACCATTTTGGTGCGGGCCCAAGTTGAGGTATGAAGAAAGCATGCTGTTGTTTGCCTTCATTGGCGGTCAAAACCATACCGCTTTGTTTGCACCATGCGACCGAGTTAATGTCAACAGCTGGTTCAACTGATGTCCACGCTGTCCCATCTGCCTCGTCCCATATCTTGATGATTCTTTTATCTGCCGAAAGAATCTTCTTTTCTTGCGAGGATGTTGTCATATGCATGAGCGTGTTGATGGCGTAGCCGTAACCTTGGTCCTTCCGTAAAATTGGAACTGGTCGACGAAGATCAAAAAGTTGCACTATGCCCTCAGACGAACCGGTTGCAAGTGACAAGCCCGACCTGTCGAAATCCAAGGCCGTGATTTGTCCCTCTTGCCCAGCCAATATCCCAACTCTTGCTTTCGACCTCGAGTCCCAAAACTCCACTGTCCCAATCGATGTACCAAATGCTAGCAAGTTATGGCTATCTTCTGCGATTGCAGCACAATTGACACTGCCCGTGTTGATACCACCTTGCAATCCTCCGGATGTAGTCAAGTCGTCCCCACCAACGTCGACCTCATAGGACTTCATGAAGCGTCCAACTTCGAGGTTCAGCCTGTACACCTCACCACTGCCCTCTGCATTAACACCTACAGCAGGTACAAGAGCTTCCGCCGATTGCCTGTCATAAACGAGATCTCTGCCGTACCTTGGAAGTCGAGTTTCATAGTGGCAACCTCCTGGAGTATGGAATTCGAGTTTTCGATTGACTTGTAAATGCAGTGACTTGGAGTAGTCGGATGAAAGTAGAACGAAAGAGTGGTTTAGTGAGGTAGTATGTCGAGCGAAAGATAGCGAAAGATGTGGCAGACAATGGGCATGTATTTGCGGTTTGTATGTTCCTGTGCTCATAACCCATTCTCCATCCTCACTAACTCGTATGCAAGTACTGGCTTCCTCAAACTCGAAATCTTGGAGTAACTCGACTCGATTCGCGTATTCTGGATCGTTCTTGAGACTGCGCTTCCTTTTGCGCGCAAGCCAGTCTGGCAAAGGCCTGGCAGTTGAAGCGCCAGATATGGTGTATACTGGCACCTCGTTGGGATTCGTGAGCTTCATGATGACGCTCTCTTGTGGTGTTGAGAATTTCGCATCGAGTCGTGCTTCTTGGAGGGGCGCTCTGGACTTGAGCTCTGGACTTTTCCTGTTGGAAATTTTTGGGGCAGGGATCGTATCTCCAGCCAAGCCAAGGTTGCATAGCGTGTGGGGAGGCCGACTCGGCGTTGTTATCGCTAGCTCGGCGCGAAATCCGATCGTTTGCCGGCGCAGGCGCATCGCATCGGATCGCATAACAACATCGTGAGGAACCTTTTTAGAGAGCTCAAATTTCCTAACTAAGACCCTATCACTCGACATCTTCTCCATCCTCAATACCTCGGTCGACTCAGACATCTATTCCATTATATAGAGTGGACAACGCCCTGCCGACCGAGTCTCCAGCGGAGATGGAGCCCTGCGAACCTTGCCATTGCCTCGCCGTGTCAAAGGACAGGACGCTGTACAACAACTCTCTCTCTACCTTGGAACAAGTCTTTTCAGGCAATTTTGCATGGAATATTCTGCTACAGTCGACAACCAACTAAGCTCGCATTTCCAGTTCCTCGGATGGTATTAGAACCTCCAATTTATGACTGTCGACTTGTTACGACATGGATCCTGGCGATTATCGCACGAATGTATTATCAGTGGTAAGTGTTGGTTGGTATTTGGCGGGAGGTCAATAGGGGCTGTTTGCGTATACTAAACCTTCAACCCCAGAATAATCTTTCTTCAATCAAGTACGAATATTTTGAAACGCGCAGTCCTGCCTTGGGATCATCGAGGAAGCTTCTCCAGAGATTGGAAGCCAGCTGGAGACAAGAAGCCCGGCTCGTCCACTGCGATACATACCGAGATGGCATTTGGGTTTTTCAGAACGCGATCGATTCGAGCTCCCCCACCAATCTTCCGAATAAAGAGAAGGGCCCAATCGTAGAAAATGGTTCTTGGGAGGCGCACGGGATTCAGATTGCGTTGAAGGAGCAGGGAACTTTCGAAAGTCAATCTCTTGCCAGGAGTAGACAGGCTGCCTCCTCAGCGTTGAACTCCGCAAGCAGCAATTCTTCCCCCTCCTCATCTCTCGAAAATGCAAGTCGAAATGCGCTGGCTCTCAACGCTAGGTCTGTTCAAGCCAACGCACTGTACAGTCTCTCACAAGAGATAAGTTTATCGTCACCTGGCCAGAGGTCCCTCAACCGATCATACGATGTGTGGCCGTCGATGATAGACGTGCATGAGAGCTTTATATCCGCGGTGCTAGGGTCACTCGTACATGTACTTTGCCGCGATGAAGGTTATATACCTCTGAGCCCTCGAGTCTTGGTTTCTACCCAGAAAGATTCCACATCCCCAAGTAGAGCTGTGAATAGCCAATCGTGTTCGACAGGAGCCGTCACACTTGCAAATTTGGATATTAGTTTGACCTCAATGGGGACTCTTGTTATTAAATCCTATTCTGACACAAGCTCAGGGCTTCAAACTCTCGGCTGTAATGGTCCTCTTGGTGCAGGTAGTAATTTGACCCCTGGAGTAGCATTATCACTTGCACCACTAGGAAATACGGCCAAATTCTACGCCTTCGAGGATAATAGGGGTTTGCCCGCTGTTCAATCAGTCACACAGCCAGGAGAGAGTGCTCCTGAGCCCAAACCAAATAACCTTAATGAAGCTGCTGTGAAGGCTTGGCAATCAAAATGCATTGAGTGGTTGTCATCCAAAGGAATTGATCAGGCTTTAATTGAGAGTGGCGGTTGGATTTTTGTCCAATTGACCAGCGGTCATGGATCATATCTTGATGTTGATGACCCGGATATCTCGATCTTTGAAGGACGTACGGTAGTTCCATGGCCAACACGTCTATGTTTCCAAGCTTCCAACAACGGACATCGTAGTTTATCAGGAAGCGAACCAAAGTTCCCTGGAAACCGAGATCCCTTGGCATTTGCCGAAGAGTGGTTCACAGGGAGGGATGAGAGAACGAACATTTCCTTGAAGCGACAAAAGGAGCGGCAAGTCGCAGAAGCTTTATCTAAGGAGCAGGCTGATGTGGAGGCTCGGGCTCTTCAATCAGCGACGACACACTCTCCGGCTGTACTACGGAGAGGAAGCAATGCTGGTGCCATGTATCCAACTCCACCAGATGCAATTCATAATCCTGTCGGCGTCACACCAATATTTGATGGTGCAGGTTCACCACCTGTAAATATCATTCCTTTTGCGGCACAGGATGGCCCCATATCTGCTGCTCCATCAGCCGTAGCCGGCAATGCTGTAGATATGTGGGGGGCTACAGACAAAGCAGACCGAAATACCTCTAATACGACTTTTAATGATAACAATAATGATGCCGATCTTTTCGGGGACCTTGGCGGTGATATGTTTGGTAATGACATAACAGATGCTGATTTCAACTTTTTCGATGCGCCCGATAATTTGCAACCCGACCTTAAGGCAGAGTCGCCTAAAAAACCCAATCTTTTGGAGACTCTTGCTGTCAAGGAGCCAGTGGCTAAAGAAGCCGTCAAACAAGAGGGGATGCATCCTCCTGCAAAATCCATGGCACGCTCGAAGAATGTGAATGCGCAGAAGCAGACTGTTGGAAATGTCAACTCATCTCAGGTAGATGCAAAAAAGAGCGAGTTTAATGCCAACGCCCTGGTTACAATCAAAACTAAGCCAGTGGCGAAACAAGAGATCCCATTCAGCAAAGAGTCAATATACCAACAACTTGTCAACGAATCTGGTGTACAAAAGTCCAAAATCCAGTCTCGGCGAGCGAGCCTATTCAGCAAGATAGAATTCAAAAACTCGTTGTCATCGGTTGATGCCAAATATGGAGACCATGGGCAGTTCAAGATCTCCGATAGAAACGTCCGCCCGCAGACTTTGGAATTTCAAGGTCTCCCTCAAACGAATTATTTGAGTACGCGGCGAAAAAGTACGGATCTGCCGGAAGCAAATCGTCTCGGGCGAATTCTGCTAGTGGAACACAAGGCAAACGAGCAGCTAGAGCTGGATGATGCGATGGATTTCCTCCTGGATTCTGACGGTCTAAGTCAAATTTCTGAACAGGATGATATCAGCCCGATCACGGATCAGATACCATTAATTTCAAAGATCGGTATCGAACAGAAGCTTCTTGATAACGGCCAAGGAAATGCGTTGATCAATTTCGACCCCATGGCTATTGATTTCGAACAGTCTGCGAGTACCCCTCACTCTGCTGTTGCAACGCAATTTCCTCTCCTTGAAGCAGATCCTACAGATTGGTCTCTGACAAGTTACTTTACCTCCCCAGAGCCAGAAGCCCCTTCAAATACCCTGACAGACTTGGAATGCATTGCCACTGCTCAAATTCTCGTCGACCAGGCTGTATCTGGCACGATTCAGCTTTCTTGTATAGGTGACAATGGAGTCTCTCACAACAAGTCCAATACAAAGGGAGGGCTTGTCCGAAGCGTAGCAAAAGCTACAAAGGTGTTCTTCAAAGATCTCTCCTCGTGCACATTGCGATCGTTTTCGGAGATTCAAGGGATTCCAGTGATGAATCTCGGAGGACGCTTACCTCCGCGCCCTGTAAATCCTCGTGTCGGAACTGCCTCTGAGCCTGGGAGACTAAGGAATCCCTTCCCAATACAGCCGCCACAATTGGAGCTTCGCCGCTCGGACTCACAGCTTTCTGTTCTTCCATCCGCAGTCAACTTCTGGGAAAATCTTGGTCTTGCTCCATCCAGCGGCGGCAAAGATGTCAGTGCTGTATGTGTCTATCCAAATATAGATGGAATAGCTGCCAATGCAAGTATCTTCTTGGAACAAATGAGAAGCACTTATGAATCATATAGATTAGGCAGTCATGAGAGACTTTCTTCAGACGAACTTGTCGATGGTGTTTTGTCATTTCCCCTCGATTTAGGTCAGCAACATACGTCGCGCAATTTGTCAACACTCCGAGAGACAGCGGCACGTCTAAGTAATGCTCTCGCAGCAGCGATCATTGAAGAGAAGAATATTGTGGTATACTTTGTGTATCCAGCCGACAACCCAACACTGCTGGTTCATATTTGCTCAGCTTTCCAACATCTGTTTCTTCTGTACCGAAAGGCGCTGTATGATAGGAAGGCGAAGTTCTCAAATGAGTTGGTATTGCAACTTGTTCCATTGGAATTTGTTTACTCGCCGATTACGATCAATGTTCCGCCACCAGCTGAATATGCACGACTCTCCATGGAGGTCTATGATCGATGTATAGATTTTGAGTCTGCATCGAGGAGCCCTGCTATTGTGTTGGAACGGCCCTTACCGCGAAGTATAGACTTCAAGCTGAATCCAAATCCTTCTGCATCAGTGCTACAGGAGAATACCTGTCTCCATATCGCATATGCCCAAAGCACTGATGATCGATGGATGACAGCTGTTTGGACAGACAACAAGGGGACCCAACAGATGAATGCCTCATACTGTCTAGGTCGTAAAAACGAGCCAATTTCGATGCCCTTCGCCGTTGTAGCGAATGAAATCTGGGAAACGACTCTCGACTTCATCTCCAGCAAGAATATCCACTGGCGTATTATGATCGCACGAATTGGAGTCATGGAGCTGTCTGAAGTTGATATATGGACAGAGCTCGCTGCTAGAGACTCCACCGCCCAAATAAATTTGACACTCCTAACCGTTCAAACAGAGCCTTCTCTGCGACTCCTTTCTCCACCCGCAACTCTTCCTACTGCCAGAGAAGCCACACAAACCACAACGCCTGTATCCACTCCTCAAGGCACATCTGTCCTCTCACCCGAAACCTCTACAACGCCGAACCAAAACACCGCTCCTGGCGAAGCATCAATTCTGGATCCAGATCCCTCAACCCGCCTCCTCATGCTCAGCGATCAAACCCACGGACTCCTCCTTTCCCACCGACTCTCCAATTCTCGCACACCCCTTATACCAAATCCAGCTCTCATCTCGGGATACCTCGTAAAACATTCCACGCCCACACCTATTCTCATAGAAGTAAACATTGTCCACAATGAAGTAGCGGGAAATCCCAGGACTTATTATGAAGGTCTTCTGAGAGAGGTACTTGGCATGTATGCTGGGCTAGGGACTTTGAGTAGAGCGAGGGGTGCGACTAGTGTAGGTGATGCTAGACCGTGGCATATTGCTGCTGCGGAGAGGGCTGTAAAGGTGTTACATGCTCTAATGTAATTAATGTGATCTTGGTGATCTTGGAAATGAGCGTTTTAGAATAGTGTTCTTTAGTTTTCTATGTAGACTCATATAATATTCCTGCCTAAATGATGGCCGTTCTTGATGTTTCTCGCAAATATGTGTAATATGTTATCTGTTTGTCACCAGATAGGCGTTAAGTGTAAGTCTCAAATTAACGTTAACCGTCCCTTTTAATACTTCTACATTACGTCGCTCTAAACTAGCAGCTCTTAACGAGACTCGAGCGCAACTCTTGAGAACCCCCATGCTTGCGATGGCGACGAACGCAGAGTTCCCGCACGGTCAAGCCAACAACAAAACCTACAGGTACCGCGCGACAACAGCCCCGTAAAAGAAGTAGATCAAGCACAAGAACCAAACTCCCAAAAAAAAGGGAACAACAAAACCTTTAGGCCCCCCAGCGCTATCGCGCTGGAAGGCTCCCTCAGGAGAAACCCCAGTGGGGTTTTTCGAGGGATTTTGTCGAGACGGGTACGGTTATTCAGTACGGTGAATAACCGTACCCCTTTATGGCGCTTTTGGCGCATTCCTTTTTTTTTTCCTAAGAATTATTAGCATGTATTAATCTATCATGATTGGAAAATGGAGAAAACTTACTTTTATAATTTTTCAAGCGGTCCAGACGCTTGACCAGTTCGCGTCCCTGTTCGGGGGGGGGGGNNNGGGGGGGGGGACAGTTGTGTGTGTGACGCTGATGGGTGGACACACACTAACTGACTGGGCCAGGTGGGTAGGTTACCAATTTTGGTGATGGGGAGGTGGGTATTTGGGTTGTGAATGTTTGTTTTGGGGTGGGTGGGGTGCTGTGTTAGGCGAGGGGGGTTGATTGGTGGAGCGGGTGAGGGGGCTGTATTTCGGGGTTGGGGGTGGATTGCTGGATGGGGCGTATGGCTTCCTGAGCTCGCGTTGGGTTGTTGAATCTGGGTGAATGTGTATGTGTGTGTGTGTGATATTAGCTGCCATTGGGTTCCGGTCAGTACACATCCTTTTACCTTGGTTAGAGCGAGGAGGTTTACAGTATTGGTCCTTGCACAAGGAGTTGACGAGGCTTCTGTTCAATCAGCTTGTCATTTATTTAGCTTCATTAATATCTGATATTAATTGTAGCACCCACGAAGTCATCTGTCGAGGCCATCTCATCGAACACTAGCTTTCGCTCCTTTTGAGCTCCAATCCCATGAATGCCTATCATACATAAATAGGAAATACGGGATCGAGAACGACAAAACGCCACTATTCGATAATGATATACTGGTTCTACGTATAGAAAAATATATCACATCGATATAATGAGCGCCCATCCAAGGATTTCGAGGTTGACCGTATCTTGGACAACGAAGAAGATTTCATCTAGAGCTGGAGGACCAAGGTAGTTAGTTCCACACAACTTAAAGAATATACTCCCTCCAGATCTATGGAGCTATTGGTCACAGAGTGAATCCATTACAGGTAACGATATATATACGTAAGGAGGGGAAACCCATAACCTGGGGCAATGCCTTCAATGGAAGAACCAAATAGATACCCATCTGTGCCCAAAAGTTTGGGGGCCCAAAATTGCATAAGAATAAGGTGGTCTTACCAAATGTGTGTTCTTGTGGGTGCTGAGTTTTAACAGCTCATTAAGTCAACATGTAGCCCAGAAGGACAAATGACTCAACAAATAATTTGACAACAGAGGAACAATCGACAGTGAAACTTTCGAGAGGCTCTTGACAAGATCTCGTGCGTATTAACTTCAGTGTTTTGACCCGCCACTGGTCAGTATCAAGTTGTGCTCTCGTAAGGAGATGCTCCTGATACATGTATGTGCTTCTGATACATGTATGTCTCGCAACCTTTTAGTCTTCAGATAGCATTACATGTAATTATCCATTTATCTCATAATGTGTATTGATTCTACACCTGAACGCCACCCATGCTATAACCGTTCTTCCTAATATACACGTGTAGTTCGCCACCTCAGTAGCCTTTTTGTTGACTTCTGGTAGCATCCCCAAACCTCATTTTGGTCGCAATAAATCGCCCTCTTTTTCGCACCCAGATCCCAACAGTATTCTATCATGTACAACTCGTAGAGGAGAATTTCGGAAAAAGTAATTCAAGGTATCGATCGACTATTTTCCACCGCGCTTGACTTCGAGGAATAGGACCTTTTTTCGTACTGTAATTGGGTGGGAGTTAGCAAGTAATTTCTTATAAAATCTTTGTATGTGTAGCTCGAAAACAGAATGTGATGTAGGTTCTATATTGTTGGGAGGTCTCTCGGGGTTTGGAGGGGTTTGTGAGGGGAGTGTGCGGGTTTTGCGCTGGGTGTGTTTTGATCTCGAGGACGTGGAGGGATTTCGTGGGGGGCTTGAGGTTGGAGGAGAGGATATGGATAGGTATATGGCAGGAGAGAGAGAGAGGGAGAGACGTACCGACGGGATCGTATTTCAGCATGCTGAGGGGACGGTGAGTTCGTGGGCGTACGAGGGTTTTGTAGTACCCTGTTAGGGCCATGGACATTAGGCGGACGGGGATGGTGCGGGATTTGACTGTGCGTGGGTTAGCTTTTGTTTCCCTTGAACTCTTCCTTCTTCCTTCTTAAGGTGAAGTTGTATGAGGGATTGGGACTCTGGGGAGGGGATTGCGCGGTTGGTTTTTGTGGTAGGTTAGGGTTAAGGATTTTGAAGAGGCTCATTGGGGGTCAATTTGGGGGGGGGTAAGGGCGTAAATACCTTTTTTTGCCATGGTTTTGCGTTGTGATTGGGGATTTGGGGTTAGGATGGAGGGGGATGTGATGCGATGCGATTGATATACTTTTTTGGAGCCTGGGATGTTAGGCTGCTATTTGGGGAGTGGTTAGACGGGTAGGTAGTGCTGGGTACAAATCGGTACGATGAATTATTTTGAGTGTTTTATTCTTTGTATAGTGATTAGAGATAGTGTTTGGTGACTCATTTGATTTTTGATTTGTTTCTTTTTACCTTGTTTTGTCGATTTTGTGGTATTACTTCTTTCGAGTAACCTGGAACTCGAATGTCCGGTATCAAATTATATACCTCGTTAAGTGCCTCGTTGTTAATTTTGATACATACAAATGTGTACGTAGATGTCTATACATATAAACATATATTGCAATTCAGATGTGGTTTGAATCGGAGACTTATTGAGGCGCGAAACTGTATATGATGTCTCCCAAGTTCAGTACTCGTATACACGATGGATTACAAACCCACTTTTCACGCACGCATTGGGCTTGGTATGTCTCTTAGCATCGGGAAGGATGATCCCCAGAACGACGAAGAACTCAATCGAGTTTTTCGGAATGGGTGGGTTTGAGTTTTTCGGGTTTCTGAGGGGTGAGGTTCGTGGATGTGGTGTTTTTGTAGCGTGAGTTGTATTCTTACATTGCCCATTCACTTATTACAGGATAGAAACTAAACGTTCACCGTAGGACTTGGACATATGTTAGGAGAAAGTAACGAAATTTGGTTAAGAGAAGGTAGATTCAGATAGACTCGAACGCTAACGGGTAGAGAATCTGCAGCTAGTAATTCTTTTGTGCAGTAAAGGAAAAGCAGAGCATTGTGTTAACCACGAGCCGCTTTTTGTTCTTTCAAACCCTGTTCATCGTGTAGCTGTTGCTTTATGAAGACAGTCTGGTTTTTCCTTTTATCTTCTTGGAATTTAAAGTTGCTTGTCTTTACATTGCTCATTTATATCGCTTATAAAAGTGACCTAATCATAGAGCAAGATTATAACCTTACATAATTTACATCCTGTCCTACTCCTTTTTCAAGCCCGTAAAAATAATATTGTATCTTTAAGCTTTGGTAACTATTTACTTATAACCCGGATCTATCTTCATTCTTCTAATTCCTCTTTCTATCTACTCTAGGCTGGATATCCGGATTATGCACATCATACAGTGAGATTCCCAAGATTCGGGGAAAACATGTAGCGAGCTGCTGCCATCATCGCGCCGTTTTCTGTCGCTACAAAGTTTACTCCGAAAAGAACGTTTTCTCAGTATCCAATCCCATTCTTCCAACGGATATTTTCCTAGCATCATGCTGCCAGGGACTCGTACTGGAGCGAAGGAACCAGTAACAGCAACGATGATCGGACGTAAAGTTTGACCCCGCGTTATCTCAACCCCGCAACAAAGACCTCAACGTGGACTTGTGACATTACCCCATGGGGATTACTTCACGTGGACTCGATCAATATATATTATTTCATAATCCTGACTCGAAGCACTGTTCATCATTTTTCATGGGAAAACTGAAGTAAACATGGCGATTTCGAAGGAGGCTATCAAGAAAGCTCTGAAGAAGCAGACGCTTAAAACTAGCGATAAAGAAAGGACGAGGGCTGCGGAGCTTACCCTGCGAGAATCTATTTATCCGCTCGTCCTCGTTACCTTATTGTTTTTCCTTTGGGTACGTATCTTGCGCGGAACATTCGGCTTTGAAGTTTGGAGGCGCTGATGAATATGGGAATAGGGATTTTCCTATGGACTTCTCGATACCTTGAATAAACATTTTCAGAATACGTTGGGGATTAGTAAATCGAGATCTTCCGGCCTTCAGGCTGCTTATTTTGGGTACCTTGCCTTCATTTAGCTGACGAGATTGGGAAAGAAGCTGATTGTCAACAGTGCTTATCCTCTCGCTTCACTTGGGCATGCGAATTGGATTCTCAGACACTATGGTTATAAAGCTGTTTTTATATGGGGGCTCTGTCTCTATGGAGTTGGTGCTTTGCTAGCTTGGCCTTGTATCCTTCACCGATCATTTGGTGGTTTTTGTGCTGCTATATTTGTTATTGGAAATGGCCTTGGGTCTTTGGAGACTGCTGCCAATCCTTACATTACAGGTTAGCCATCATGCTTTTTCAGTGGATCCCTAGAGATGATTGCTGATTCTGTTTCAGTGTGTGGTCCCCCTCGATTTGCCGAGATTCGAATCAATCTCTCTCAGGCTTTCAATGGAGTCGGAACAGTCGTTGCTCCTGTCCTAGGGTCTTACGTTTTCTTTAATAAGACTGGTGATGATCCACAAGCACTGAAGAACGTTCAATGGGTATACTTGGCCATTGGTTGCTTCACGTTCGCGCTCGCTGTCGTCTTTTACTTGTAAGTGCTCATTCTTTCTATGGCATTACCTCTGGATATTCTTACTGATAACGACTATAGCTCGCCAATTCCTGAAATCACAGATGCAGATATGGCATTTCAAGCGGAAGAGACCCATGCAAGCACCGATGTCCTGCCGTTTCGAAAACAGTATCGACTTTTCCATGCTGCATTCGCTCAGTTCTGTTACACTGGCGCTCAGTAAGTCACATTCCATCCCATTGATTCGCCATTCTCAACACCCTTACCGTGTTCATACCTAACCGAAGATCTAGAGTCGCAATAGCAACTTACTTCATAAATTACGTAACCGAGACACGCCTAGGGACACGCAGCGCAGCAGGCGCTAAGTTTCTCGCTGGAGCCCAAGGCGCATTCTCAACTGGTCGCTTCGCCGGAGTTCTTCTCATGAAATACATCCGTCCACGCTGGGTCTTCTTGGTTTACCTCACAGCTTGTATAATCTTCATAGCACCAAGTATAACGCAACGTGGAAACACAGGGATGTCAATGCTCTACATGACACTGTTTTTCGAGTCCATCATCTTTCCCACCATTGTGGCACTCGGCATGCGAGGATTGGGCAAGTACACCAAGAGGGGAAGTGGGTGGGTGATTGCTGGCGTGTCCGGAGGTGCCTGTGTTCCCGCATTACTAGGTCGGGTGGCGGATGTGCATGATACGGCTCTTGCTATGGTTGTTCCTTTGATGTTTTTCGTTGCCGCGTGGAGTTATGCTCTGTGTGTGAATTTTGTTCCGGCTTATAGAGACATTGTTGATAGTGTTCAGACAGCCGAGATTGGAATTGTGCATCCGGATTTGGGAGGCGATGAGGAGAAGGCCAATGATAGTGTGCTTGAAAAGGGCGATGTACAAGAGAAGGAGTAGTGCTGTTCAGATAGTGTGTTACGGAAGTGATCGAGATGGCGTGCTTAGCTTGTGGGAGTCTTGTGGATTGTTACCAAGAGTCACTTACTTTGTAATCATTTCAGCTTATTGCCACGCGTGGGTTGAATTCAATTTGAAGCAATAATAACTTCTTTGATGTGGATTCATAGCTTTCAGATAGTAATGGCCACTTCTTCTGCATAGCCTATGCGAATTTCGACCTATAGCCGAGTTCCGGTTCCCGCGTCAAATGCTGACAGAAGGGGGCTTGCAGGTTCCCCTCGTGTAGTGAAGCATAACGAACCCAACATGCTGTAGTTGATTGAAACGATCGTTTGTTGTACTGCATGGCTTCTGTACGACGATGACCCTTCTTTTCTTCTCAGTTGTACAAATTGTGAGGGGTAATTGGGTAATCGACCTTGTACCACGTGAGATCGTTTTTATATAGAGGTGAATACTGAAGCTATTCCAGTTCTGATGTCATCAACATCAAATTCAACTCCGCTTTCGGTCAATTGAGCAAGGGCTTAAGAAAATCTCTTCGCCTTTCAATAACATCAAACGACACAAGCAGCCAGGTTGTTTTGTACAAAGCTATACCACAGCTATCAACCACAACCCCCGCGCCAAAATGGCTTATCCAGAGACTATGAAGGCCATAATCTTTACAAACGTTCCAGCGGAATACAAAGAGGGCTCAGTCACCGACTTACATCTCAAAACCTCCCACCCAGTTCCAAAACCCACCGAAAAACAAGTCCTCGTCAAAGTCCACGCAGTTGCCATTACCCCCTACGAACTGACATGGCCAGCTCCAACAGACACACCACGTGTAGTATGCCAGGATATCGCGGGTGAGATCGTTACTGCGCCTGCTGGAAGTGGTTTCGAAACTGGCGATCGGGTATACGGACTCTTGGAGTTTTACGGACAAGGTGGAATGGCCGAGTATACCGTCACGGAACCCGAGATGCTAGCAAAGATTCCAGAGGGATTGGATTATGTACAGGCTGCCTCTATTCCACGGGCTTCTTTGACTATTTGGCAAGGTCTGAAGGAACCGGTTTGGAAGAAGGGAGATGGAGCGGTTGTCAAGGAAGGCGACAATGTGTTGATTCTTGGTGCTACTGGTGCTGTGGGACGTATGGCAGTTCAGATGACTCGGGAGTGGGTTGGAAAGAATGGAAAAGTCGTCGCTATGGGTGGGCTTGGAGGCGAGGATCTGAAGGAACTCGGTGCCGATGCTGTCATCAACTACCGTGAAGTGAAGGATTGGGCTTTGGAGGTGACCAAATTTGGTATACTGTTCAATCTTATCTTCGATTGCGTTGGTAAGAAGACTCTGGAAGCCGCAATCCCGTTAGTACAAGGAGGTGGAATGATTGGTACTATTGCTTCCCCGCCTCCTGAAGAATATCACATTGAGGGTTGGGATGTGATGGAGAAAGCTGGCCGAGGATTCTTTTTCATCGTTGATGGAAATAGCGGCAGTGGAAAGCAACTCACAGAGATTTCCGGCTTGGTCAAGAAAGGTGCCATAGTGCCTTCAGTCAGTGCTGTTATCGATGGACTTGATGAGAAAGCTGTGCAAGACGGATGGAGCGCCGCTCTCAAGGGTGGTGTCAGAGGAAAGCCTGGATCTTCTGTTGTCAAGATTCTATAACCATAGTTTTGGAATGATGGAGATACGGGAAAGTATGTCAGTAAAGGTGCAAAGGAAACTTCATTCATAATTTCCTCACACATGCTATGTATCTAGTTTCGACCTTACGAGAACTTCAAGAATTGCAGAGCTCTTTATAAACATTTCCCGATAATATTTTTTCTTAGAACGTCAAGCATGCCAAAAAGAAGTATTGGCTCGTCAAAATTCAGATCAGATCCTCGCACTTGAGAGAGTGGTCTATCACCCATTAACTGGATTTTGTTTCCCATTTGAGTAGATAGAGATCCATGTTTGCTGCATACCTTTTATGAAGATCCTAATCTTGGAATCTTCAACGCGGGAAACTTCCTCAAAATTAGCCCACCAAATGTTGCATCTCTGCGTCGAGCATTCAATGTGATTAGTCTTCATCGATAGCCCTGCAAGATCCTTTGTCTTTCTGTTCGAGACCATTTCTTCGACCGTTCTTTTTAATGTTTCTTCTTTTCCTCTCGATATCGCGATGTTCAATTCTAATATCCCAGCCAGGTCAGGACACTTTGGCCGGCTCCTCGACCATCGCGACACTCCTATGTCGACCCATCTGGCAATTAATGCCCACCCTCATTTCCGGTTCAAATAAAACCGAAAGCTCGTCTTCTTCATTTGCTCTTATTTTGCGGGATTCTGCCGATTTTGATATGAGGTGTTCACCCTGCTTATCGAGCAACTCAGCCATCGCGGTCTGAATCTCAGATGCGATCGCATCGCGTCGTACAGTGAATGTAGAATTCTGCCTCATCCACTCCTGCAACCTCTTCGAAGTACCATTGTGCGAATCGCGAACATGTTTGGGAGGGTTCTCGAGCGAGCGGATGTCAAAAGACAATCGAGCTTGAGGATTTAGGGGGGAGAGTGGCCATGCGAAATTAGCACCAAGGTAGGAAGGGTCGCACATGAGAAGCTATTCGGAATGTACTCTGGTAAGACGGAATCGTTGCCATCATCGTCACTGTTACCGTCTTCATTCGTGGAAACTAGAGATAAGTTCTCGTTGAATTTGAGGAGCTGAGAATTCCCAGACTAGATTCTGGTTGTATTTTCTTTTTTGGACTCACACTCCAGACGAGAGTCAGGATAACATTACAGGTACGAAATTAAGGTGGCCGATAGTGACCCTCTTGTCACGAATCACGTGTTAGCACGTGGTTAGCGAAGACCAGGCGGCGTCCTGACAGGTCAAGCACTACCAGAATACTTATAGCAGATAGGGATGCTTAGGTTAGCTAAGCGATCCAGGGATTTCATATCAATTATATCACGTGACCAGTAATGGTCGTTTGGTCGCGGCGACCAGCAGCGATCATGAGGATGAAGGTTCTATATAAGACTGGCACGTCTGCCATTAGATAGGAGCTTCGTGCTCAACTTAGTTATCAATCTTATCATATTAGTTTGACATCTTTGATACAAGTAACGAGTTCACTTCCAAGTGAACAACCCGATAGTCTTCTTCTTATCATAGCATACCAACCAGCGAACACCCAGCCAAGTTTAGTTAGCCAGTTTGAGTATTCGTTACAATATACTAATTAAAGAGCTTTAATTATAACCTATAGTAATAATAATTAGTATTATATTTACTACTATATCTATTACTACGCTTACTACCTTATTTTACTTTCCTAGTAGCTTAAATTGATTAGGAGTCTTTAATAATCTCTTATCTAAACCCCGCGGATTAATAAGAAGCTTTACTTTAACGTTAAGCTCTACCTTTAAACGAAACTCTTTTCTTAGATTAGTAAGAAACTCGTCGTTAGAATTAGTATTTATAAAAGCTACTCTATAAGCCTTTATCTTTAGCTCTTCGGATTCTATAGTTAGTTTTACGTTAACTATTACCTTGGTCTTTATCTTAACCTTAGGCTTTTTAATAGTAAGAGACTTAAATCTAAGAACTAATAAGCTTAACTTATACTAGATTTAAATAACTCTTAGGCTAATCTTTTAGATATTAACTTACGAATAAGAAGCGCTAGTAATAGTTTCTTTTTCTTTCCTTTCCTAGACTTTAGCTTAGAGATAAGCTTAAATAATAGTGACTTTTTCTTTCGAGAAATAAGAAATTTTTTTTATCTTAGCCCTTAGCCGCTACTTATATAGCTAACTTTCCCCTACCCTGATCCGACCCCACTTTACTCTAAGTACTTCTAGCTAATTATATTCTATCTCCCGAAATAACTATCTAGTATCTAAGGGAAAATAGGGATTATTTAAGTAATAGGCTCTAATTCGAGGGTAAAAAAGTAACTATATAAACCTCTTATTTATATATAATGGTTTACATCTACTATAATACTAATTATTATTACTATAGGTTATAATTAAAGCTCTTTAATTAGTATATTGTAACGAATACTCAAACTGGCTAACTAAACTTGGCTGGGTGTTCGCTGGTTGGTATGCTATGATAAGAAGAAGACTATCGGGTTGTTCACTTGGAAGTGAACTCGTTACTTGTATCAAAGATGTCAAAC